GCCCTTCTGACACGGCAGGATATGGCTGGCCAGGAGAATATTTGAAGCTGTGCCATCAGGAGGCAAGGCTGGGCTGTGTTGGGAAGCATTTCCCATTCCCTGGGACTGCAGAAATCAAGTCAAATATAAGAGATGTGTCCCAGCTGGAGCAGAGTCCCTAAAAGCTGGGAGAAAGGAAGGGAGAAAATCCGGCTGGGAAAATCCCAGCTTTCTCTGTTACTCAGCTCAGGCAGGATCCCGGTGATCCGTGTGTCACCCTGGGGATCTCGCTGCCCTCCTGCACCCTCCATGGCCAGGCTGTGAGAGCAGGGAGTGACACTGGCACCCAGCACTGCCTTGTCACCCTCTTTGCTGTCACCACGGCCCCAAAAAGCCACAGGAGTTCCCAAGCTGTGAATCCAGAGGGATTTCCTCCACCCAGGGCAGTGGTGACACAGCCTGAATCACATTCCCACCCTCCCATTTCACTCTCCACAGCTTTCTCCCGAGCTGTCTCACTCCCAGGAGAAGGATCCCTGTGTGCCCAGTCCCAGCACTGGGGACAGTCCCTGCTGGCCATCCCTGTCCTGGTGGGGTGAGGGACAAGCTGCAAACTGGGATGGGGAGCAGGGAGGGAAGRGATGATGGGAGAGGGAAGGATGGATGTCCCCCTCACCCTGCCCTGCTCCTGCTGGGGGTCTGTGCTGCAGCTCCCACCCACGATGGCCACCCTGGTGTCCTTGGGGATGGTGACAGGAGGTGACCCCTTCCCATCCACACCTTTGGGGACCAATCTCCTGCCTGGCTCCAACATCCAACAACCCAAGGCTGTGGGGTCGTGCCCGAGCTGGAGGCCACAGACATTTTCATTGGAAATCATGGAAGTGAGGATAAACAGATAGGTTGGGTTTGGGAAGCTTCTGTATTTATGGATTTTGGGTTTTGCTGAGGCCCCAGGGATGGAGATGAGTGGGAGCATGTACTGGCACTGCCAGGTCTCACCAGGGATGCAGGAATATCATAGCCAGCCCTATAATTAACCCAGAGCTTAATTAAGGCTCCAAAAGCACTTTGAGTGAGGAAGACTCCGGTGAGGAGCTCAGTGTGGCCTCAGGGTGGGAGAAGGAATGAAACAGCATCCCACCTGCACCCAGAGCCTGTGGAAACTCACTGCTGCCTCCTCCCCAGCCCGAGGGGAAGAGCAGGAGGCTGCAGGAGAGGCGGGAGACCTGGAGCTTTTGGGATTTGTCCCTCTTGGTCCCGTCCAAGATTTCAAACTCAGCAGTACATGAGGAGATGCTCCATGCACTGCATCAAAGCTCTGCTCTCCATTCTCCTCCACGCAGCGCTGCTCATGGAGCAAGGCTGGGACAGGGACACCATAGATTCTGTTTCCAAGAGCTTGCTTCAGCCCTGGGGACAAGGGGAACTGCCTCGAGTAGCTCCAGAGGGTATTTAGATTGGATATTAGGGAAAATTTCTTCCTAATGGAAAGGGCTGCCAAGCTCTGGCGCAGCTGCCCAGGGCAGTGGTGGAGCCACCATGCCTGGAGGGATTTAAAAGCCCTGTGGATGTGGCACCTGGGGACATGATTTGGTGGCACTTTGCAGTGCTGGGGGAACAGTTGGATTAGATGATCTTAGAGAGCTTTTCCAACTTAAATGATCCCAGGATTCCACGGCTTTGCCCTCTCTGAGGTCCTGGATTTCACTCCTTGTGGATCCATGCACAGGGTGAGTTCGAGCAGTGACCGACAGAGAGGACACCACCAAATTCAGCAACAGAACCATCTCTGCTGCCAAAAAWTCCCATCTGAGGGTCTGTTCCCGCTGTCCCCTCCCCTCTGGAGCAGAGCTGGGAGCCTTCCCACCGCAGCCGTGCCGAGGAACCGAGCCGCGCGTTACCGCGGAGCTGAATCACGGGCTGGCGGCCGCGCTTTCAACACACGGCAGGGATTTGGCAATTGCGGGGGCTATTAATAGCGCCAGACCGCTCTGCCGGGCCCCACGACCTGCCCGAGGACGCGGGAGAGCAAAGCAAACTCGCAGGGAGGCGAAGGGCTGAGTTTACCTAAGGAGAGGTCGGGAAATAACCTGTCGGGGAGCAGGAACCGCGGCGCTGCGCTCTCCCCACTTATCGCTCCCCGACTCCGCGGCGGCTCCGCCGAGACACCGGGGAACAATGGACAATGAGCAGCGATGTCCCAGAGGGGACGGGCCACCTCTGCCCCCTCCACAGCCCCAGGGGTTTCCCACTTTTTGGAAAGGCGCTGGGAAGGGATCACCGTGGGATGGTCTGTGGTGGGTGCTGCTCCTCCAGCCCGGAGTCGGACTTTGCCCTTTGGGTGTGATCCACGAGCAGTGAGGCCCCTGAGTGGAACTGGCTGGGGARCACAGGGCAGGAGGGCAGAGCCAGAGGGAGAGGCTAGAGGGGGGAAAATACAGGAGCTGTGAGGAGCTGGGTTGGATGGCTCATCCCAGTTCCAATCCCCATCCAGCAGGATGGAGCCAGCACTGTCTGTCCTTGAGCCCCAAGCCCTGCCCGTGCTGAGCAGAAGAGATGGTGATCCCATCCTGGCCACCCTGCAGGCTACGGGCTGGGGGTGCTGAAAGTGCCAAGAGGAAGAGGCACCCCATGGAATAAGAAACCCCATCCTGCTCAATTCCCATCCCAGCTCTGTCCTGCACCTCCACCCTCCCTTCCCTGGCACAGCTCCTCCGACTCTGCCATCGATGGCTTCCCATTCCATCCCAGTGCCAGACTGTCCCTGTTTGGTCCTCACCACCTGCCCCACTCTGACAGCAGCAGGGGCATTGTGTGAGGCAGCGGAGCTGGTTTGGGGGACACCGAGGCAATGAGGGATGTGCCAGACAGCTGCGGGATCCTTGGATCCTTCCCCATCCCCTCAGGCAGTGCCACGGGCACAGGAAACACAGCCCCAGGGCACCGGGGTGGATTGCATCACCCTGGATGTCCCCAGGGTGGGCTGAGGTCTGGCTGAGGCTGTTCCAGACACCCTGAGCAGCAGCCTGGCCTCGCCTGGCAACTCCGGACAAACATTCCTGGCCCCGGAGCTGGCAGGGCTCTGTKCCAGGGGCGGCTGCTCCATGGCAGAGATCACAGCCAGGCTGTCCTGGACCTGCAGGGAGAGCATCTCTGCGAGGCTGGGCCACCAAATGGGATGGAGTGACCAGTTCCCAGTGTCCCCAGGCAGCCCAAGGGACACGAGCCAGCTCACCGGGTCCTGTCCTGCTCTGCATCCAGGCAGATCTGTCCTTCCCGTGGCCCTGCTGCTGCCTGGCAGCATCTCCCTCCTGCAGAGTGTCCCCTCCTGCAACTGGACCCCAGACAGAGCCTGGACACAGAATCAGGCTGCCCAAGAGGGGCTGTGGCCGTCCAGCTGTCACCCAGGATGGGCTGAGATCTTGGAAATCCTCAGCCAATTTGGAAATTTCACCTCCCAACACAAGGGCTTATCCTTCATCACCCTGGTTCAGCTCAGAGAGAAAAACTTGGGAGGAACACTGATTGCTTCTGATGTGCCACGTTTTGGAGAGCAGCAGGCACCTCCGGAACGCTCCCTCTCAAGGCTTTTAAACACAGAAAACACAACACACACTTTAAATATCCTCTCTGCCCTGCAGGCAGCACTGCTGCCAGCATTCCTCCCTCCTAACCAATGATGATGATGGCTTTGTGGGGCTCCTTGAGKATGGGCACAGACCAGAGAATCCCAGAATATCCTGAGACAAGGAGTGCACAGAGAATTCCTGTTGTTTTGGATAACAAATTGTTTTCCTTTCAGGACAAGCACACAATCCTTTTTTGGGTGTGCGTGTATCTTTGTTTTCTCTTCTGCTAATTCAAACACCCCCTGAAAGGCTCCTGAAGCACATCCAAATGTCCACCTTTGGAGCAGCCCTGAAATCAAGTCCCACCAGAAGCAATTTCAGTCTGAAGCTGTAGCTGATCCGTATCTGTCAGGAAACCTTCAGCTGAGCCTACACCCCTCAGCCCCTGCACACCACGGAGGGAGGCAGAGCTGTGGTTACCCCGGCAAACACATCTTGATGGTTAAATTGTTGAAGAGGGAGCTGATAACATCAGTGTCCATGGTGATCTCACCTCTCTCCTGATAAAATCAGTGTCCATGGTGAYCTCACCTCMCTGGAGCAGAGCACTGCTCACACCAGGGGCCTGTTGATGCACACCCAGGCCCAGCATCCTGGGAATCGCTTTGACCCTCACAGCTGCCCCCCCAAAACACGAGCTCTGCCTCCTCTGCCTCATTTCCCACCCGAGGCTGTCATRCCAGGCCAGGCTGGGTGGGAATTGGAGCAGCCTTGTCCAGTGCAAGGTGTCCCTGCCCAYGGCAGGGTTGGTCTGGATGTCCTTTAAAGGTCCCTTTCAACCCAAACCACTCTGTGGCTCTGATTCCATAACACCCCCTGAGTGTTTCTTTCTGCTCTGCTCCATCCCCAGAGCCTGAGTGGCTGGAAACAGCCATGTGCTGGAGCAATTCCTCTGGTGGATGAGGAAACTTTGGGATGAGACCCCATCAAACTGCCCTCAGCATCCCTGAAGTCTTCCCCATATCCATAAATATCCTGGAACATATCTGCCTCCATAGATTCTGTTGGGGCTACACAACAGAAAAGACATTTTGTAATGAAAAATAAATCCCAATAAACTCAAAGCTACCTGACACTTCCACCCTGATCTACATCCACAGCAACCCCTCAGGATCCCACTGGGAAGCTGCTCCCGACCTCCAGCGCCAATCCCGCAGCCCCGGGAGAGGCGGCGATTCACGAAGCCACAAGGGAGATGTGGCACTGACCCCTAGTGACAAACTCCTGCCCCGAGCCTGCAGGGGAACGGGGCAGCGCCTGGAAAAGGACACGCTTAGGGATGGGGGAATGCTCCTCGTCTCGCACAAACCCTGTGGAAGGAAGGGATCACCCCAGGAACCCCTCTCCCACAACCCAAAACAGATGCAGAGGAGTGTATTAGAAATGGAGTTTATTTAAGATGGAATGATAAATGCAAAAATTGCACTTCAAAGTACCAGAGGGCAGGGTTAGATGGGATAATGGGAACTGGGAATTGTTCCCTGGGAGGGTGGGGAGGCCCAGGGTGTCCAGAGAAGCTGTGGCTGCTCCTGGATCCCTGGCAGTGCCCAAGGCCAGGCTGGACAGGATTTGGGACATCCTGGGATAGCGCAAGATGTCCTTGCCCGTGGCAGGGGTGGAATGGGATGAACTTTGAGGTCCCTTCCAACCCAACCCATTCTGGGATTCCATGATGGTGATGATGATGATGATGATGAGGGACAGGATGGGAAATGACCAATGTACAGTGCATGGAATTCAGCAGCCTATGGACCTTACACAGCAATGACGGGAACACACGAAGGATCTGCTCACACCCTTCCCTTGGGAATAATGCCTCTGATCAGCAGGCTGCAGTTTATTCTTTAAATACATACATTTTGGCTCAAAGCCGGGCATTCAGGCYAAAAATGGTCTCTTTCAATTAAGGGCTTCCAGGAGAGCCCGGGACTAATGATCTATTTCTGGGTATTTCAAAAGACCCACAGCCATGTGTGCTGCTTGCAGGATGGGAAATAAAGAGTTTGCAATGCTCTCAGCAGTCCCTTACCAGCATTTTTTTTCCTCTTCCCAGTAAATTCAGAGCCCTAAGGAGCAGGAGGAGGATGTGACCGTCCTGACATGTTCTCGGTGGTGCAGAGGAAGAGAGATGGAAAAAAAGTGGGATGATCACAGAATCCTAGAATGGTTTGGGTTGGAAGGRACCTTAAARAMCATTTCATGTCCTCCAGGGATGGGCAGAGCCCCCTGGAAAGCCAAATCCCCAGGTTTTCCATCTCCCCAATGTATTTTGGGTGTGAAACAGCTCCATCCCACCCTGGCAGGGTCCAGCCCCACCCTTCACCTCCCTCCCCATTCCCACAGCACCAGACTTTCCTCAGACCTCGCTGCCTGTGCCGTTCCCAGCTCAGGAGGCACCGACCTCACTGCTGTCACCCAGAGCAAAGACAAATCCAGGCTGCAAATAACCCCCTGGGCTCCTGACCAAGAAAATGCCAGCAGTGAGGAAAGCCATCTCCCAACCTGGCCACCCTGGGGATTTGCTGGCAGAGCTCTGTCCCAGCTATTCAGGGCTGGTGTGTGACCCAAGCTCTGGCCTCGTTAATAAATCTGCTCTGACCAGATCTTCTTGCCCCTGAGGATGAACACACCCACGAATTCAGGTGCAAACATGACTGGGGGCTGGTTGGAGCAGCCCTGGAGTGGTGGAATGCTGTCCCTCCCAGCTCCACAAGGTTCCAGCAAGGATAGAAGTGCAGCATTTGCTGGCACACATCAGTAGAGTTTCTCCTGCAACCAGTGAGGAGAGAAACGGGCTTTTCACTTTGGAATCACTCACCCTTCCTGCTCAGGGGCARCTGAAGTGATTCTGAGATTCAGGGAATCTACAGAGCATGGCTGATTTGTCTTTTCCAGTGTTGTTTGTCACTCAGTGAACTCCCAACAGCAGCCAGGGAACAACACGTGGGATGTGCACACACGTCACTGGCATCAGAAGCCACCAGCACTCTGTAGCAGGGAGTGGCCTCTCCCTTCACCATTCCCYGACAGCTGAAAACACTTCTCCCCTTGGAGGAAGGCTCACAGAGRGCTGGGAAAGTGCGAGGTTTTCCAGGGCAGCCCAACACCTTTCCCCACGCTCTCAAAGCTCGCTGTGCCTCTTGCCCTGCTTGTCCCTGGCTGCCATCCTCGGGGCTGTGCCCCGCAGGCCCCTCCCGGTGGAACCGGCTCCCTCTGCCGTGCTCTCCTGGGATGGCTCCTCCCGATGGATGGCAGGGTCCTCTCCGGGCCTCTGGGGTGGCTGCTGTGCTGGGGTGTCCCCGCGGTGGAGGGAGAGCTCGGGCACGGACGGCTCCATCATCTGCAGGAAGTCGTAAGCAGGGAGYGGTGGCTTCCAGTCCTCCTCAGACAAGGTACCTGAGCAGCAAACACAGTCCCAGTTAGCAGGTAAAGGGATATTTCACTTCCCAGAATTACAGCTTTTTTTCCCCCCTTCCAATGAATAAAAAATTAAAAATCGTTTCTAAAAGATCACAGAATCCCAGAATGTTTTGGGTTAGAAGGGGTCTTAAAAAYCCATCCCATTTCACCACCTGCTATGAGCAGGGACACTTGCCAGTGTCCCAGGCTGCTCCAAGCCCCAATGTCCAGCCTGGTCTTGGCACTTCCAGGGATCCAGGGGCAGCCACAGCTTCTCTGGGCACCCTGTGCCAGGGCCTCCTCACCTTCACAGGGAATAATTCCTTCCCAATATCCMATTTAACCCCTTGTCCTGTCCCTCCATCCCTTGTCCAAAGTCCCTCTMCAGCTCTCTTGAGGAAGACACATCCATTCTGGCTTCCTCCAAAGCCTCATCAGAGTGATTAAGACAGGAGTAAAAAACTTCACGGCACAAGCTAAACCTTTATATCCCACAGACCACAGCAAAACCCCATCTCCCTTATCCTTTCCCATCCAAAAAGAAATGCAGGAAGGTGCCTAAAGAGCAGCTACTTCTCACAACTGGGAGCTGGGAGGTTTTTTATTAGCAAGCTGTGTTTGGGATGGGAAAACACAGCCAGATTTGGGGATTATCACAGGGAAAAGATGWCCATTCCAAACTCTCCACGTTTGGCTCTGAGAATTAAACAGTCCCAAAGCAAACTTGTGAGTGTTGGGCATTCTCTCCTGGCTGGACTATTTGTACTTCTCCAGCCCTTAGAAGCAGAGCTGGTTTTTCCATCATTAAATTCCAGGGAGGACAATTTATTGCACGTAGTATCTTCTCATAAACACGCCGGAGCTCACAGTGCGTGCTCGGGAACGTTATAAACCTGAATCCACTTACTGCTGGGAATCTCCACTCCTGCTTGGAGCTTCTCCAGCCACGACAAGATGTTCATCTCAGTGATGGACTGCTCTGAGGGGAACTTGAACACCTGACCCCCAGCGTGGAGGTTCACCCACAGGAGAACGGGCAAGGAAGGCACGGTGGAAAAATACATCCTCAGGATTCCATATCCCACTGGAGTCTTCTTCCTGTTGGGAAGAGGAGATTCAGTGTTGGCAGCACAGCAGGACTGAGAGGCAAAAAAACAGTGAGAGCACACCAAACCACCACTCACATCCAGCAAAGCACAGTTTGGACTGTGGGGCTGCAGGAGCATCATCCCTGAAGTGTCCAAGGCCAGGTTGGACGGGCTTGGAGCAATCTGGGATAGGGGAAAGCGGCCCTGCCCATGGATAACTGGATGGGCTTTAAGGTCCCCTCCAACCCAAAACATTCCAGTATTCTCTGATCCTAAGCTCATGGCACTACACATGAGCTAAATCCCTTAAGGAACCTGTTGGGGGACAGCAGCCTGGAAGTGGAAAGGAATCCCTGAGCAGGGACAGCTCTGTACGAAAGTGGGAAATGTTTTCCACCTGAAGCTTTGGGTGAGTGGTTCAGGTCCTGCAGTCCCCCAGGGTTAGATCCTGTTTGCAGGAGAGCTCCCAGCTCYTTCCAGCCCAGCTGCTGCCACTGCCCCATGGTGACAGCAATCCCCAAGGATGGAGAGGCAAATTCCTCAAGTGACACAGAGAGGGTGAAAGGAGGACACTGAGGCAGAGGGACAGCAAGGCCACAGAGGTGCTGGGTCACTCCAGCACTATTTTAAGGCTCAGAGTGATGCTCCAGGTGTGAGCTGGTTCCTGCCCTGAGAATGAGGGCCCCTTTCTAGGATRAGGGGCTTTTGACAAGGATATGAAGTGATAGGGCACAGTGAATGGCTTCCCACTGCCAGAGGACAGGGATGGATGGGATATTGGGAATTGGGAATTCCTGTCTGGGAGAGGATGGGATGGGATGGAATTCCCAGAGAAGCTGCAGCTGCCCCTGAATCCCTGGCAGTGTCCAAGGCCAGACTGGGGCTTGGAGCACCCTGGGATAGTGGGAAACATCCCTGCCCAWGGCAGGGGTGGGATGAGATGAATTTTGAGGTCCCTCCCCACCCAAACCACCCTGTAACTCTGGGATTCTGCCCTGGGTTCTGGCAGTGCCGTTTTGCCCCAGCACAGGAAGGATTTTTGTATCTCAGGCAGATGTGTAGGTGGGGAAGTTCCAGGGCTCTCGTTTCTGGTGCTTTACTGGCAGCCCTGTCCCCTCCTCTCTGAACACGTGTGCATTCCCCCTCAGCCCACGCTGCACGGCACTTCCCAGACTTCAAAGCACGTTATGATTAAGCCACTGAGTTGTCTCCAGGCTTGGGCAAAACAAACAGAGGCCAAAAATTCAAATTGTAACTAAGAAGGGGAGGATTAAAAAAAAATCCCCTTTCCTACGACTTTCTAGTTCTTAGGTCTTGAATTAATTTTGTTTCTTGGATATTTTGTAAGTTTAATTTATGAGGCTTTTGGTTGAACCTTCTTGTGATAACTTTCATCAGTCAATGACCACTCATTCCCCCTAACTGCTGGTGGAAAATCACCACAAGTCATTCCAGAAGGGCAAATTTCCTTTTTTTTTCACTCCCACACGCAACAAAAATACAAATAACAYCAGATCCAGGGTCAAGCTACTTACAAACACCAGACAACATTCTCCTCCATCGAAAAGGATTCCTGCAATCAATTAAACATTTACCGATTTTCCTTTGCCAGGCCATGTTTGCAGCTGCCCAGAACACTGCCTGAATCATTGCTCAATGGTCTGACCTCCCAACTCCTGATGATTTCAAACCCAATAATCACATTACCAGATCATAATTGCAACCTCAGGGGTTTTTTTTTCTGCAATGCTCGGAGCGAGTTAATGGAAAGAAGATTTTCACACACTCACAGGTTCAACCAGCAAGCCACAAACGCCTGCTGGTGGCTTCCTCTTGCCAGCTTCAGCATTTCCTTGCTTTCAGTTTGACCGATGTCAGCAGCACTGAACAGGATGAGGAAAGGTTTTTTGAGCTGCAAGTACTGTGGCAGGTTGGGCACGGTGATTTCTGGCTGTGAGACATCAAAATGGAGAAATTGAGGGTTATGGGGAGGAGAAAACAGGAGAAAATTCAGATTTTTGTGCTTATRTGAGAGTGCAGGGGTTAAGCAAGGCTGTGGTGGCCATGTGGGATGTGGGAAGCTGCAAGAGGGTTGGGATTTTGGGGCACTCAGAGATGCCTTTGCCCAACCAAGTCCGTGGGAGCAGCTGGGAGCTTGGATATRGGGATGTGAGCAGAGCAAGAACAGCTCAGGCCAGCTTCACTGGGGAGCTTGGATATGGGGATGTGAGAAGAGCAAGAACAGCTCAGGCCAGCTCCACTGGGCAACAAACAGCTCCAAAACGCACATGGAAAACATTCTGGGAATAGGGAGCAGCCCCTGTGAGAGGCCAAGCACTGCAGCAATGGGTGAGTGACTCTCAGGCTGGTCCTCAGCTCCAGGGTCTCCTGCTCCAAGACCACACAGCAAACAGCAGCTCTCTGCTCCAAGTCATAAAATTTAAAAACAAACTTGTCACGATAAAAATAACGAGCAGCCATGGCTGTTCTGCAGAACTCTGCRCTGTCATCGGGGCTCTGCAAACGACCACAGCAGAAAAAGGACGTTTCTGATTTTATTTTTACTCACAAAAATGTCCAGCAGTTCATGTCTGATCATCTGCACCATGTCCTGCACGCTGGGTTTGGACAGAGAGATGCTTTCCACGCTGTGGTCTCTGCCCCGGGCAAGGAGGAGGGCAGGGGGGGACACGGAGTATTTTTGGGATCTGAAAAAGAGGGATGGGGACAGGGGGGTTGGACACACACCAAATGTGCTGCACACTCAGGTGGCATCCTCCTGGAGACATCTCCCATCCCTGGAAGTGCCCAAGGCCAGCTTGGACAGGATTTGATGCAACGTGTGATGGTAGAAGGTGTCCCAGCCTAGAGCAGGGGATGGAATGGGATGGGTTTCTTTTTTAAGGTTTCTTCCAACCCAAACCATTCCAGGATTCCGGGATTCTATTCCTACTTCTCTTTCATTTTCACACCTGAGGTTGGGTGGTGCAAAACCCCACCCAGGGTTTCACTCTGCCTCTCAAGCCAAGGCAAATAGAAAGTCTCAAATTCCACCTGAGGGACACAACCCAGACAAAACAACYTCCAGGAGATCCAATTTTTGTCTCAGTGAACAATCCCAACAATTTTGGTGACGTCCAAGCACACCCAGGCTGCACCCACCCACTCCTGGGRGAGTAACCAGATCATCCTTCATTCCCCAATGTCCTTCTGGCAAGAGGGCTCAAAGTATTCAAAGAAAAGCTGAGAAAGTGGGAAAAGCACAAATAGGAGAAGTCTGAGCAATGAAAGGGCAGGGGGGACACTGAGCCGAAACAGCAATTTTCTGGAAGTTTGAAGAACTTCAGCCCTGGAGGCTCCTGATGGCACCACCCAGAGGAAGGGTGTGACAGGGAAATCAGCTGCCTCTGCAGTTTTTGGGGGCATGTCTCGTTTGTTTTTCAAAGGCTCCTGGCAAATTTTCAAAAGTTGTGACACCAAAGAATCCCAGAATGGGTTGGGTTGAAGGGACCTTAAAGATCATCCAGTTCCATGGGCAGGGACACCTTCCACTATCCCAGRGTGCTCCAAACCCCATCCAACCTGGCCTTGGACAYTGGTGAAGAGCAGCAGTGACCACAGAATCACAGAATTYAGTTGGGAGRGACCCACAAGGATCACAGAAATCCAACTCCTGAGCATGGACTTCCCTGAGCCTTCAAATGTTGGGAAAGAATTACTAAACAGTTGCTGGATTTATCTGAGCCATTTCTTTTCTTTATCTTTGTAAATCCAGCCCTGAGCTAAGCTTTCCTCTCCCTGTCTGGACTCACAAGTTCTGCTACTTAAAACCAGTTGATTCTCACACCTCTGCAAATCCTCCTCCTTAACTCCTCTCTTCACTATTTTGCAAATTAACCTGAGTTGGTTGTTGATTAAGAGTGGCAAAATCCTAAAAAAAAAAAAAAACCAACAAATTAATTCAGGGAATTCAAACTTATTAAACTTGTACAGTTTAATACACTTCTTTAATAACTTCTCCAGGTTTTAAAGAGATTCTTCGCCTTGGTCACGGCTCAGAGGAGCCAGATCTTGTTCCCTGTATTTAAAATACGTCAATTTGTCCAGCAGCCTTTGATCAGCATCTGTGAGGGTGGAAAAGACTTCCAGAGAAGCTGCCCCATCCCTGGAAGTTTCCAAGGCCAGGCTGGAAGGGCTTGGAGCAGCCTGGGATAGTGGAAGGTGTCCCTGCCCATGGGGAAYGARATGGGCTTTAAGGTCCCTTCCCACCCAAATTCTGGGATTCTAGAAGGAAATATTATATATACTGCCAAAAAAATCACCAAATTCCCCAGCCACACTCTATCCTGAAATCCCTTTTCCTCTTCCTGGTGCTGAGGGGTTGTGCTGCTGCTCACCACAGCTTTCTATTTATACAGCAGGACCATTCAGTGGGTAACACGAGTCTTGCATTTCAATCAAATCCATCTGCAAACAAACACTTGGCAGGGATCTCTGACATCGACGTGGGAATAAATAACAGCCTCATGCAAAGCATTTCTTCCTCAATGCCTTTTTCCCGTCCATTAGTGACCAGCCCAGCAGGTGCCTGCTGAGCAAACAGCTTTGCTGGCACCTTTGTGTATTCTTTTCCCTTTTTCCCTGGAAAAGGTCTACAGGATGAACAAAAGGGGAATCAGCTTCCTGCGACCTGGGAGCCACAAATTTTTTCTCCTTGAGTGCTGAGCTGAAGAATGGCTTTCCTTTTTCTGAAGAAGGGAARTGAGCCTGGCTCTTGCATAAGGAATTCCTGTAAGTGTTTACTTTCTGCTTACAGTTGAGAAGCCCATCAGGCTACAGTAGCTTCACCCACAAATCACAGCCAAAATCCCAATTTGGCAGAAGGACTATCAGTATAAACTGTGTTAAATATTCCTGCTGAACAGGAGCAGGCTGCAGGCTCCTGGAGCAGGAGCAGGGAGGTGGATTCTTGTTTGTGTCAGCTCTGAGAGAACACAGGCTTTTTTTACTGGTACCTTGTAAGATCATCCTGTCCTCTGCTTTTTATTCTTTTATCAGCTGGGCTGAAATCCTTAGGGAAAAAAAAGTCTTAAGGAGGGGGGGTCAGGTTCACCCTGGTGCCTGGAGCACAGTTTGGTTAAATGGAGATGTATTCCCAAGGTATTTGCATTTTTATTCTCTGCACTCACCACAAAAACAGCCGTGTCTCATCAGGAATGCATCACACCTCTAAGGAACTCATGAAAATAATCCCCTGGTGCTGTTAAATCCACACCCAGAAAACAGGGCAAGGACCTTCTGGGGGTTTTAACTCAGCCTTGAGAGCTGATTCCTGATGGAAATGAGAAGCCAGGACAAGCTGAGGATTCCCCCAGGATTCAGCTGCATTTCCAGGCACCAAAGCACCTCTCACACTCGAACCCAAAGGATTTTGCCCTTTGCTGGAGTCTTAATGACACAGGTAAAATCCCATTTGCCTTAAAGTCAGGGATGCAATTCCACCAGGAGTGCAGCTCCACGGCAAAGCTGCATTTATTTCCCAGCTTCCAAAGCCTTTTCCAGCAGCCAGACTCAATGGCCACTCYACTCCTAGCCCAAGTAGTCACATTTTCTGGCTGCTCTTGGCAACTGGGGGCAACCATCAGAGCAAGGGAAGGCACTGCAGTGACAATCCATCACTCCTTCCTCATGGGAAGAGAGAAGAGCAGGGTTTGTTTTTTTTTCTCCCTCACACACCGATGGTATTATTTTTCCAGCCTGGTTTTATTTTATTTTTTTTTTTTTTGCCTTTCATAAAGATTTGCTCCAGTTTGGATGAGGAACACAACCAGATCCACGGGGGCTGAAAACACCTGGAGTGAGTAAGAAGAGCAGAAAGGGAGGTGACTGTGGATAAGCTGAGCCAACAATTCCCTTTGGATGGGTCCTGACCCATTTCCCTGCAGGAATAAATCACTTTTAGCTGTCACTCAGCACAGTGACACTCGCCCCAGGCACTGTCTTTCTCTAAGAGCAGATCAGCTTGAATTCTCCCCAAAGAAAAAGAGAAACCACTTACAGAGCCAAAGCATCATCTTCAAAATACATCCCCATCCTTACRTGGCCACTCAGGATGTTTCCTGCCTCTTCAAAAGCTTCCCTGGCTGGAAAAAGACAAAAACACAAGAATAAACAAYAGGAAGAGAGGTGTTGATAATTTTTTCCTGGAAAAGTGATCGATGCCTGCACAYATAACATCCTGCCAGAGCAGACTTTCAGGAATTAAAGCAGGATTAGAGGCTCACAAAAAATGACTGCAGCTCAGGGCTGCAGGCCATGGGAGRAGGAGCAGGCAGAGAGCAAGGATCAGGGGAAAATTCCCATTATGAGGGCAGTGTTTGCTCTTCAGCCACCAGCACTGAGCCTCCAGGATCTGCAGGACAGAGGGAAATGAAATGTCCTTAAGGACTTACAGTCTGTAAGCGTTCTTGGAAACAGGAGACCACTTATAAGTCTAAAGAAAAATCTCATAAATCCCAGTGACCTTTGAGAAATGAYGGGTGATGGCTTTACTGGAGTAGGGCTAAGAGCCTGGAGATAAACCAAGCTCTCCCTCAAGTGTTTCTTGGTTTATCCAGCTCCTCCAAGCAGGCTGGGGCTGTTGCAGGATAGGAAAAAAACCAGGCTGGGGCTCTCTTGAGCACAGTTGAGACTGAGAGCACTGCTCCAAAACAAAGCTGACTCCAGGGCTGGTTTATTCCCTCATAAAAAGCCTCCATTKTCACAGAATCCYAGAATGATTTGGGTTGGAAGGGACCTTTAAGCTCATCTCATTCCACCCCCTGTCCCYATCCCAGGSTGCTCCAAGCCCTGTCCAGCCTGGCCATGGTTTCAGGCAGTGGGAAAGCCAAGCTTTGTGGGAACRGGCCAGGCACGGTGGGGAGCTTGAGAAATGCAGAGATCAGAGCTCCAAGCAGCTGCTGCCAAAGGTGGGGTGAGAACAGGCAGGATTTCAACACCACCACCACTCCTCCTCCTCTCTATTGAGCAACTGAAAGCACCAAAAACAGCTCTTCTGACCCAAGCACGGGGAGAAATCTCGCTCTTTGGAGAAGTCTGGCTTTTCCTGAGAATTAATGAGGTATTTCAGACACAGCCATGCTATAAGTTGCTGTCAGACATCAGTGATTGCTTCTGTCACAGACTGTTCACTGTCACAGCACAGTTGGTCAGCCCAGGCTCCTGGGGCCAGTGATTCAGAGTTCAATAGATGGAGCTGCCTCACAACTGCTCTGGTTTCAGTCCTTTGATTCCTGTTTTGGTCCTTTGGTTCCTGTTTTGGTCCTTTGATTCCTGTTTTGGTCCTTTGGTTCCTGTTTTGGTCCTTTGATTCCTGTTTTGGTCCTGTGGTTCCTGTTTTGTAGCTACACTCAAATCTTTGATTCCCTTTTTGCAGCTACACTCAAAGCTGTATTTTCCACTCTTTCCCCAGTGGCCCATCAACTTTCATTTAAACTGTTTTCCTTTTTAAATGGAAATGGCTCCTTAAGGATTGGCTCATTCAGGGCTCAGTCATTGTCCTGGAATTSCTGAATGAGCTGGGAGGGAAGGGACCTTAAAGCTCATCCCATTCCACCCCTGCTATGGGCAGGGATACCTTCCACTGCCCCAGGTTGCTCCAAGCCCCATCCAACCTGGCCTTGGACATTTCCAGGGATTCAGGGGCAGCCACAGCTTCTCYGGGCACCCTGTGCCAGGGCCTCTACACCCTCCCAGCCAGGAATTCCTTCCCAATATCCCATCCATCCCTGCCCTCTGGCAATTTGAAGCCATTCCCTGTGTCCTGTCCATCCATCTCTTGTCCCAAATCCCTCTCCAGCTGCTGGAGAGAAACCACTCTTGGACAGGTTTGATGCTGGTTTCCAGCCCCTTTTGCTCTTTGGTTGTTTGATTTTATCAGTGTTGAAAGRAAAGTTCCCATCCCAAGCTCCTGCACCAAGCACTTCTCCAGCCTTTAATCCTCACTTTAGATGGAAACTCCTCCTGAAGTGCTGCTCTGGCTGCAGAAATTATCTCCTAAGTCAGGACAACCTCCAGCAACACCAGGCTTGTTCCTTGACCTGATGAGATCCTTCCTCCCCAACACATTTCCCAATTTTCCTCTCTTTCTGGCTGTGCCAGCCCCAGAGCCACACACCAGCCCACATTTCTCTGAAAGGTCTCCGAAATTTCTCCGAATTCTGTGGATTCTTTGCTCCGAAACCCCCCAAATTCACACACTGCAGACAGGAAGCACTTCAAAAAAATCTATTTAAACACTTCCTAGGAAATTACCCCCCCTGAAAGTACTGCTTTAACTCCCTGATGGGGCTGCTCAGGCTCCACAGCACATTCCTGGAGCTGGAATCCCAGCTGCTTYCCACCACAGCCACCGTGAGTTGCACAAAAAAACTTCACTGATCTGGGAACAAGAAGGAATCGAGCTGCCAGATGAGGGTCTAAAATCCCTGCAGAGTTTTGGGAAGTTTTTGGTGGTTCTGGGCACCACCCCTGGAAGAAAGCACCTCCTGATCRTGCTCTCAGCACAGCAGCACCTGCAGCATCCCTTGAGCCTTCATCACTTGGCTCCCACTGATGCTGCCAAGCCCTATGAGGCACCAGAGTTGTGCAGAACACAGAGATATTTTAAAACTTTTGCCACAGGGTTTAGGACAGCCTGACTTTCAAGGATGCTCCCAGTTTTGCATGAAAAACAAATTTATCTCCCTGAAGTGCTCCAGCTTCCCAGGAAAATGCTCGTTCGTTGCCCTCATCGYGCGTTCACCTCTTCCTAATAAATTTTAATCAGGATTTTTCCAACAAGCCCCTTTTAGCTCTGACCCCCCAAAAAGGCTTCTTAACATAGTGCTGATGCTATGAGCTGGAAATCATCCAGGATTTATTTAGCAGGACATCTCACTGCTCCATTTCAGTTCACTGGAAATGGCAATGACACAGTGCACAGCTGCTCTGGGTTACAGCAGCAATTCTGCCATGAGAAAATGATTGGGAATTCCAGATGAGGCTGCAGGTTGGTAAGAGGAATAATGTGGTTTTCCTGACCTCAGCCTGGGKTGGTGCTGGAACAGCTGGCTCCAGGTTTCTGCTCCCTCAGGCTGTTCTGCATCACAGCTGCAGCACCCCCAGGGTGGAAAAGACATTCTGAATTTTCATCTCCCTGTGGTGGCTGAGTTATCCCAGACTGTGGATGCCACTGTGGATTGCAGAGGGTGCCCTRAGGGAAGAGTTTATCCTGCAGGATCCACAAAGAACTGTCTGGAAATTTCCAAGGCTTGTGTTTGCATGGAAGCAAATAAACAAATTCTCTGTAGAATCCCAGAATAGTTTGGTTTGGAAGGGACCTAAAAAGATCATCCCATTCCACCCCCTGCCATGGGGAGGGGCACCTCCCACTATCCCAGGGTGCTCCAAGCCCCATCCAAACCTGGCCTTGAACACTTCCAGAGATGGGGAGACACAGCTTCTCTGGGYTGGATTAAACACTTTTTGGGATCAGTAGGATTTCCTGCTACATTTATCAAAATAGATACTCCAGAGGAAAGCAAGGAATTGGCTGTCAGCTGGCTCAAGGAACACAGCCCAAGTGTTTTCCAGCTGGTTCCAGACGTTCTGTCTTGTCTTACCTCTTCCCTCTGGACCCCCTCATGTGAAAAAGTAGCTTGATTTGCATTAAACCAAAGATCAGAGGCACAAGGGAGCTTTAAAATGAAAAATAGTCTGAAAGTTTGATCTTAAGCAAGATCAGGAAGTTCTCCTATTTTTAAGGCAGTAATTCCCAGGGGAAGCTGGCAACCAGGAATCCATCAGGCTGGAAGATCTCACCTCCCAACTGTGAGRCCCTGGCACAGGRTGCCCAGAGAAGYTGTGGCTGCCCCTGGATCCCTGGMAGTGYCCMAGGCCAGGCTGGATGTGATTYGGAATAACCTGGGACAGTGGAAGGTGTCCCTGCCYGTGGCAGGGGTGGAATGRGATGAGCTTTAAGGTCCCTTCCAACCCAAACCATTCCATGGTTCTGTGATTTGCCTGAAGCACAACATGACATTTCCTCTCCACATTGGCTTTATTCCCTCTCCCTTGTTAATAYATTGCATTTCTATATCCACCTATTTCTAAATCCACAAGTGGATTTTATTGAGTTATTCACATTTCATTCCTTTTGATGAAAGAAATTTGCATTTTACCTTATTGCTGYTCTGTTTTTTAAAAACTACCAACAAACCTTCGTTGGTGGCCGTGCTGAACACTCCCAGGAGCGAGGTGTGGGGATGGGATGGCAGCTCAGAGGGAAACTCYCCTCTTAAATATCCTTCTGCTTCATCCATCGTGGCCAGCTTCAGYGGGCAGGGAGCTCTGCTCCTGTGGAGAGGCAGAGAAACAACTTGGGATGGTGTCTGCTCTGCTTTTGGGATGAAGAGACAAAAGGGAAACCTCATCAGCTCAATGGGGTAAGTGTGACACCTCAATAGAGACAAAAATTATAGGAAGGGCAGAGTTTATTCACAGAGAGGTGCTGGAGCTGGTTGAGCCAAACTGACTGCTCTGAGATCCTTGGGATCCCCCAAAAAAATAACAAAGAAGGAATTCCAGGATAAAACAGGGACGGTGACAGAAGAAGGATGTGGCAGATGTGCCAGTGTCACCCCAAGGGGATTTGTCACTCACAGAAGGATGAAGCTGCTCAACTCTTCAGTTCCCCACATGCCATCGTATGTCACTGATTGTTGTCCCTCCTTGTAAATCCTGATTGTAGGGAACTGGGTGACATTCTCCTGGCTGCAGACGACAGGCCAGTCCCAGCAGTTCACCCTGGACAACAAAACCCCCGAGGTTCCTAGAGTGGAAAAGAAATACTCATGGATGATATGAAAAGCTAAAAATAATAATAAATGGGCTGGAAAATAAAGGTTTTTATTAGCTTGGTGGGTATTATTGTATATATTTGTATTAATGCTGCCAGAAATCTCAAAACCCAGCCCCAAATACACAATCCCTTTGAGTACAGCCCATTTCTCCCTCTTGAAATCACTCATTCCTAGGGACAATCACAACTGGCTGGTAACTCCAAATGACACCATAAAATGAAGCAACGGTCCAGGAGTTTAAAAGGCAGCAAGGAAAGGTACTGGGAATACCTTAGGAATAGRGCCAAGAGAAAGAAATAATGCAGGCACTCACTTACAGGAAGGAGGGAAGATAAAGCTTGGCATGGAGGAAGAGGAGGATGTAGCCAAGACCTTTTTATTTATTAAGGTGTTCAATACTGAGAAATGTTCTACTTCAAGTTCAAAGCCAAATGCACACAGGGCACTTARAGGGGATTAGGAGGTGTAAGACCAGAGGCTGGTGGCATTTCCCCCCATCCAGTGCCCTCAGGGACATGGTGGGATTGTTGGGGTGTCCTGTGCACAGCCAGGAGCTGATGATCCTTGTGGATCCCTTCCAACTCAGGATTTTCTGTGATCCCACCCAAAGCCACCAGCAGACACCTGTAGGACCTTAAAAAAGGGTCTCACAAATAAGGGAGTAGGAAAGGAAGAGCACTCAGTCCAACTGTGGGTCCTGGAAAATGTCCTAAAAAGGCTTTTTATGGGTCTCACCAATGCAATAAACTCAAATGAAAGTTGGTGCCCTGTGTGCTCTCCATGAACCCAAAACTTGTGCAACTCCAACATTTCCTTCAGCAGAGAATCATGGAATCCCAGGATGGTTTGAGTTGGAAGGGACCTTAAATCACATCCCATTCCACCCCCTGCCATGGGCAGGGACACATTCCACTATCCCAGGCTGCTTCAAGTTCCATCTAGCCTGGCTTGGGACACTTTTAGGGACCTCACCAGCCTTTCCTTTATCTCTGGGATGGRTGAAGCCCAGCACAGGCTGCTGCTGCTCGTCCATGGCTAAGCCTGACCTAAATCCTGACAGGAAAAGCACCACCAGCTTCACTCCCTCCCCTCCCTCAGCCTCCAGCCTGGCCTGAGCTGCCTCAGGGACCTGACCAAGGAYGTTTTGCAGTTGTCCATGCCCACAGCAGGAATGCCCAATCTCAGAAATCTTCATTCCTTCCCTAAATTTCTTTGAAAAGAATTCAARAGCTACGTGGGAAAGATGGGATGAAACCTACAGACAAGTACACACATGGAGGCAGACCAYGGCAGAGTCCTTCAGAAATCAGCATTGGGGAGATGATGAAGATTTCTCAAGAAAACAATTCAAACCAGACAAGCTTTCTTCCCTCCCTGTCCTGGGTTTGATTTTGATCACTATTTTCATGAAAGGCCTGGCTGACRGAATTAAAAACACATCCAAGGTGGTTTTGATCCCAAGCCCAGAGGGGCAGAAAGCACYTTGAAGGGCAAAGTGAAGGAGAGCAGCATTCCATGAGGAGAAGCAGGGTGCAGAAAACTGATGAATTCTCAACAGCATCTGCAGGCCATGTGAGTTAAATGGTGTTCTGTCCTGGGAATCACGTTTTTGGAAAGGCTTAAGCAAATGAGAATCTGGAGCAGTTTGAAAGGCTTCCCTCCTGAGGAAAAACCCAACCAAGTTTTGCCTGGAAATTGCCAGTAAGACAGAAACAATAAAATCAACGAATTTCAAATCTGCTCCAGAGGGGGCAGTGAGATCACCRGGCAGGGTCAAGCAGCAACCCATGCCAAGGTGGGGAGGGCTGACCAAATATTCAAACAAGCTACTGAGAACTGAGCACAGCTGAGTGTTGCACACATTCTTGGTGTCCTGAGAGGCTGTGGACTCCCACCTCCTYACTGGAAGTGTTCCAGRCCAGGTTGGATGGGGCTTGGAGCAACCTGRGAYAGTGGAAGGTGYYCCTGGCAGKAGGCTGGAAYGAGATGGGCTTCAAGGTCCTTCCAACCCAAACCATTCTGGGATTCTCTGAATATTTTTGCAGACAGGGTTGACCTCAGCATGAGTTCTCACCCTTCATCCCTATGTCCTTGGCATCTCCCAGAACCATTTTCTGCACCCTTCATTCCAGCTCACTTAACAAGTTTGCTGCTGTCCTGCCTTGCGTCAAACTCCTGCAAGCTTGTGCAGAAAAAGCAAGAAGCAGCACAAGTGAAGGGCCTGCAAATCYATCCAGGCAGGAAGGAATTGTCCAAACACTCCATGAGAGCAGAAATGGTTTGTGTCATTCCAAAGATCTGAAATGAAAAGCCTGACCTCAGATTTACTTCACACCTCTGATCCAGTGTAGCTGCTTCTCATCATCTCTTACCACATCATCTCGTGTCTTGCCCAACTCTGGAAAATAATTCCATGAAAATGGGGCTTTGATATCCTGTTAAAATCGAGTTGTGAGGCTGCTTAAAGGGCCTTCAAATGTGAATTTTAGTGTTTGGGTATTAGCTGAGGGAATTATCCATCATGTGCTCTGAAGGAGCCTGAAAAACATCCAGTGCAGGATGATCCCTCTCCCATCTTATGACTGAACAAGCAGCACTTTCAGGAACTGAATAACTCAGCAAGGGACTGGCCAGCCCTGTGGTCACTGATGAGCGGGGAGGAAGGTGAAAGAGGAACACAAAATCCTGCTGTCCTGGGGTTTGAGGTGCTACTAAACCCAGCAACAGTGACAATCTGTCCTAGAGGTCTGAGAAAACCAGAACAAGAGAAATCATCAATGTTATAGGGAATRAGGAAAATCAAGAATTTCTTGAACTTATATCACTTGGAAGGTAGAACTGGCATGCTGCTGGAGCGTGTCCAGAGAATGGAATTGGGGAAGGGTCTGGGGCACCAGGAGGGGCTGAGGGAGCTGGGAAAGGGCTGAGCCTGGAGAAAAGGGGGATCAGGGGGGATTTGGGGCTCTGCACAACTCCCTGACAGGAGGGGACAGCCGGGGGGGGGGTCGCGCTCTGCTCCAGGGAACAGGGACAGGAGGAGAGGGAACGGCCTCAGGCTGGGCCAGGGGAGGTTTAGGTTGGATATTGGGAATGTTTCTTCACTGAAAGGGCTGTCCAGCCCTGGCACAGCTGCCCAGGGCAGCGCTAGAGTGCCCATCCCTGGAGGGATTTAAAAGCCCTGTGGATGTGGCACTTGGGGACATGGGGCAGTGGTGGCCTTGGCAGTGCTGGGGGAAGAATTGCACTTTACTTAAGAGGGCTTTTCCAACCTCAACAATTCCATGATTGTAATTATAAAAACAACTCACTTGARGAGTGTCCCAGAGGCTACAACATGAAAGAGAAGTGATGTATGAAGGGCACTTCAAGAGGCAGAATCCAACACAGAATGGGAAACAATTACCCAGAAAACATCAAACAACAAACTCYTAAATCCTCACTCCAGAGTTACATTCCATGGATATCCATTGCTAAATCACACAGCTGATTTTCCTGCCTTTGAGCTAYAACTTCAGCCCCTGTCTTTGGAAGTCCCTGCTCAAGAAGACCCCACAAGCACAGAGAAGGAAGACAGAACCATTTTTCCATCACAATATATTGCTTTTCTTAGATATTGATTTCCTCTCTTCCKTGCAAAGAAGGCTGATGACACATCTAAGAAATGCTCAGCACTGCCTCACCTTCACAAAACTACTACTACTTCCAAAACTCCCATCTTGCAAAAGCCACCCAGAGGTGCAGCAGTGAGCCCCAGTGGGACCAGGAATGGCACGTTCTTCCTCCAAGGGTAGAAAACGTGCTCAGTTCAGCAAAGCAGAGCTGCTCCTCTTTGTCTCCTGCTCAACTGGATCTCTCAACAAAGTGAAAACACTCGAGGGCTGTAAACTTCATCTGGTGAGGATCTGCTGAGCATCTGTTACTGGGATGAGTCAYGGGGTCATTCCAGTCCCCATTCCCTCTGTGTTTGAGCACACACAGCCTATTCTCAGTGCCATTGTGCACAAAGAATTGGCATCGAGAGCAGGACCTGGTTCTGTAACTGCAAATGTGCCTCCAGCCCGGGTGATTCACTCCTCACACAGCTGCTCAGGAAGGACACTCCATCCTGGGGCAGGCAGGAATATCAGCACTTCTGGAGAACTTGGAGTGCCCCAAGCCATATCCCAGGTTTTATTCTCAGTCCTGCACAGCTCAAGATCCTCTTCGTGATCCAGCCATCACTGAGAGCCCAGGGAACAGCATCCTGAGGTTTTCTCCTGCAGCAGCAGAGCAAAAGGATCTCCAGACCCACCAATGCAGCTGTTCTGTGTCTGCTCCGAGGCCACGGCACAGAAATCAGACTGGAGTCATTCCACAGGGTCACATCTGGCCTGGGAGTCTTCAGAGGGACCTCAGTGATCACAGAGGAAAGGCCCTGACCCCAGGCAGTTCGTGATCTCTGTTGAGAATCCTTCTGTGGCTGCTTCCCCGCACTGAGATTGTGATCAGATGATTCAGAACACACACGGTGAAATCCTGGCCGTGCTGAACCCGCCAAGGTTTGGCCACTGCCTTGGGAAGAGGCCAGCATTTACCCACACACTCTCCAGGCTGCTCCTTCAGCTGGCCTGGCTGCTGGAGGAGCCCAAAAAAAAAAAAAAACCCAAACCACTGACAAGCCCAAAAAAACCCACCAAAAACCTCAATATCACTAACAACAACAACAACAACCTCYCCTGACTCTTCCTGTTTATTCCCAGGATTTCAGTCCAGTCCAAAGCTGCTGCTGACTTTCCCTCCGTGCAAACCATGAATGCAGAGCTGATTTCCTCCAGCCYCCAGCACCGTCTGCAGCATTCCCAGGAGAGCTCCTTGTAACCAACTCCCATTGGAGCTGCTCCCCAGAAATCTATGGGGTCCTCTGCACATCCCCATTGATGAATCTTGCAGGACACAGTGCCCAGACCCAGGGGGCTGCCAGCACCAGGAAAAATGAGCCTTGATGAAGGAAAAAAMCAGAAGGCACTGGGACCTTCAGAGGTGCTGGAATAGCTCTCATCTGGATCTAAGTGACTTTCCCATTGTGCTGCTGTGGGTTGAAGCCACCTCAGCATCCCCTGGGSTGGAGAAAGGGGGCCAAGGGGAGAAAAAGGCACCTCTGGAAGAAATTCAGCCCATGTAAGAACCCAYCTCTGTTCACAAACCAGGGTGGGATGGGGCTGAAAGCCTGGATGTGGGGATTTCGCTGCACAGACCCTSCTGAAGGATCTCTGCCTCCTGCCCTTGTTCCCAGATTCCCTGATGTGCTGCTCACTGTTCACCACCACGTGTTATTTATGGATTTCTGTGGCCACCTGTGGGAATTCCCACAGAACTGAGCCACTCTCCAGGCCCTGGAGGCACCATCACTGTCAATTCTCCAACACCATCCTGCCCACACCCATCTGTCCTCCTTTTCTCCAAAGCCAGGCATAATCACAGCTCCTTTTTCCAGGAGAGCTCAGGTGCCACCCAGCACTTGGGCAGGACAGGGGCACAAACAGGACCCTGTTCCCATATTCCAGGCCACAGTTCCTGCTCTTTGCCTCTCTGTGTCATCCACTGCACCCAGAGCTCTGTCCTGGCCCTTCCCAAACTCCTCCTCAAGCAGTCACCATGCACAACATCCCATAATGGGATCCCAGAGAAGTCTGGATTGGAAGGGACAGGGACACCTTCCACTATCCCAGGGTGCTCCAAGCCCCATCCAGCCTGGCCTGGAACACTTCCAGGGATGGAACATCTACAATCACAGAATCATGGAATTATTTAGGTTGGAAAATCCCTCCATTGAGATCAATAGYTCTCCCAGCACTGCCAAGGCCACCACTGACCCATGTCCCCAAGTGCCACATCCACATGGATTTTAAAACCCTCCAGGGATGGGRACTCCACCACTGCCATGGGCTAGACAACTCTTTCAGTGAAGAATTTTTTCCTAATATCCAACCTTAACCTCTTGTGGTGCAACTTGAGGCCATCTCCTCTTGTCCTTTCACTTGCTCCTTGGGAGCAGAGACTCTGCAAAGATCCCTAAATAAGAAATAAATGATTCTTCCTAAACTACCTGGTGGATATGACTTCCTCAAGAGTTTGAGGGGAAAAATGGCTGTACTGCAGGTGAGAGGGTGAGGTACTTCACTGTCCTGGTTCCTACAGTGAACAGGAGCAGCACAAAGCCCCAAACCCAGGGATTCCTTACCCTGCAGCTGAGTGGCCACCTCGGAGTASGAGCGCAGCACCACCAGGGACACGGCTTCCCCTGAAACACAGGAGAGGGGAAACACAGCCCTGAGGGACAGACAGAGGACAGGCAGCACCCCTGGTTCCCTGACAATGTCACATCACGATTCTCTGCACCCCGAGCTGCTTCAARCTCTGTAAGATTTGACATAAATATGGAAAATTGAGCTTTGTGCTTCTGGACTTCTGCTTTTTACACTTCAGCAGACAGCAACCAAGTTATCTAGCTCATTCCATGAGTCTATGCTACCTTAATTTTCCCACTTCTCCCACTTTTTTTCCCCTATAAAATGAAAGTTAAAAATCTGTGAACATTGATATCTGCTATGATCAGTCAGCGAGAAGAACTGATTTAATCTGATTGTTATCAGTGCCCATGGGGCAGGATCTGACACAGATTTATGGTCACAACTCATCTCCAGGATCATGGAAAACATTGGGAGCATCCCAAAGTTGGGAAGGGACACATTTCATACTCACAGCTGGCATAAAACAGCACCACAGTCYGGGCAGCCTCTGAGAGGGAAGAGTGGAAATTCTCCTCTGTCAGGACACGGATYTGCTCCAGGGGCAGCTCTCGTTTCTTGTCCCTGGAAACTGCTTCCACCACCTGGTCATCCTGAATATCTGCAAGGGATCCAMAGCTGTGCCCAGGGCAGGGGGAACTGGGTCAGCCCAGCTCGTGGTTTTGTGATCCAGAACCTCTCAGCAGAGACACAGGGTGAGGGACTGCCTTGCATGGGGAGAGGAGGCACAGACACACAGACAAACCCCCAAAACGCCCTTATCCCACCCCACACCAGCTCTAYCCTTGGATTTGAACTCTATTCTTTAAGCTCCTCTAAAATCCTGCCCCCCTTTTTTAAGAAAACACCCCCAGTTTTGCACGGAGAACAAACACATTTTCATTTATGCATTGCAGGGACCGGAGTTTTCCCCCTGGAGAAGGCAGGACTGGTCTGCTTTCCCAAAAATGTCTCAAACCCATCAAAGGGATGGATAATTCTGAGGCTCTTCAGATGCTTGAAGAGACCAGGGCAGGGTGCACTTTAACCCCTCACACTTTCAGAGCTGGTGSATCTAACCATGCATTCCTGTCCCTCACACAGCAACTGCACCTCTAACAGCTCTGATTTTYCCCCTTGGTGTTTCCCCTAAAAATCAGAGCTGTCTGTCAGATTCCAGTGGTGTCAGAGAATGAAACAGCCACTTTGTGGCCATCAAGAAGTGACTGTGTTGGTCTGCAAATGTTCTCTAAAGTTTTCACAGGTGTCTGATCTGATTGTATGCTCTGTCTGATGGCAATCAGCTTTTCACTGATTAATTACACACCTTGATTGTTATTCTCTTTCTCATCCTCATCTTCCTCCTCCTCCTCCTCCTGCTCCTCATCCTCCTGGATTTGTCTGACCTTGTTCTTATCTTCTACCAGGGTTATAATTTCATCRGTGTCTTCCAAAACCAGGTATTGGATTGGCATTCCCTGAGGAAAACAATAAATCAGTGGGAGCACAACTTCACTCTCTGCTTATTCTGTCTGCTGACCAAACTCCAGGCTGACAGGGCACCATCTCCCAAATTCTTCTTTTTGGGATGTGTCACAGATCCCGATGAAGCTGCCAAATAGGGCAATAGGGCTGRGTTATRTTTCTTTGGCCAAATYTCTCCTGTGCAYRARTTTTTCTCATTCCAGGCTGAGGTTYCCTGGTGAGGAGGTAAATGTGGCTATGAGGTGAAAATGAACACAGGAACTTAACACAGATCCAGCACTGCATGAAAAATCTCAGCGGCCAAGCAGGGAAGGAGAGCAGGGAGGTACAGGGGCCACTTGGATGTCCCTCATTAGAGGGGTCACAGCCTGAAAAAACAGCACAAAAAAATCCTTTATCTCATGGAGCTCAGCATGAGATAAGAAATGAGACAGTGTCAGCTTAAAACCAGTGCTGGCACTGGCTCGGATACAGGCACTGGAGAGAAAATGGAAAGTTGATCAGGAGCTGAGAGAAATGACCAAGTGCTGGCACCTCCTACAGTTCCCAGAGGAGCCACCCAACATGCCCATCTCTCAGCAGGCCACAGGAAGCCCTGAGGGGATGCTCAGGTCTGATYCTGCACCTCTGCAATCACAAGTGTGACAGTTCAGGTAATCTGGGGCATCGAGTGTTCCCTGGCATCTGCCAGCACYGAATTCCTGCTTCCCTCACAAGCTGGGTCAGGTCCCTGCAGAGTTTAACTCATCTTGATCAGCCTCATTTCACTCACACCCTTCTCAGATCACTGCCAGAGGCACTGGGTTAGAGCAGCTCAGCACAGACCTTTGGTTGTTTGCTCCTCATTTCACACTCATTCCCTCTCCCATCTTTTGACACCTTTCCTAAGGCCTCCAGAAGTCCAAATCTTTGAGGAATTTGCACTTGGATGAAGTTCACAACCTTGTGTTGCCTTAAGGAGCAGTGGAGATATCACTCGACGTTTTGAATCCAAAATAAACTCGCTGTTTTCTCTTTCCCAGCAGGCACAATGGCTCTGCAGCACCCAACTCAGGCAATCCCAAATCATGGAATAAGGGACACTAAAGATCATCCAGTTCCACCCCATGCCATGGGCAGGGACATCTTCCACTATCCCAGATTGTTCCAAGCCCTGTCCAATCTGGCCTGGAGTATTTCCAGGGATGGGATATCCACAGATTCTCTGGATAACCTGCTGCACACACATGTACAATTTGTGAAAGACAACTCTCCTTTAGTTTCAAGGAATKCTGTCAAATAATAATAGAAATAAGCAACATCCCACCACCCCTCCAGAGCCCAGGCAGGGCAGGAAGAGCTRTCCAATAAATAAATCCATCATCCAACCTCATCTGGAGTCTTGAGGGCGACGTTTGAGCGGTGCAGAACGTTCAGATCCACGAGGTCCCTTCCAAAACACAAAGTGAACGTTACAATGGTGTGACATGGAAGGTCACCCCTACTCTTTTTGCTCTTAATTCCATCAGGGCTAAGTTTTCTTTCCAAAATCTCTTAGTGTGAGTATTTTTCCACTTTTAAGCCAGCAACACATCCAAACTAATCCGATTCTGGACAAATCCTTCAATGTGACACCCTCTCACAGGATATAACCTGGTTTTACTGCCTCCCATCCCAGTGTGATTGAGTCCACTATCATTCTGGTGCTGGGGTAACCGAGCTCAGAAACCCCACAAAATGCAAGCAGAACCCCAAAACACCTGAGAGAAATACCTGGCCAAAAGGGCAACTCCTGCTTTCCCCAGGAGCTTCCAGGCCACGAACTCTGCTGTCCTCCTGTCAGCCTCGTAGGTCTCTCTCTGGCTCAGGATGAACACCAGGGGCAGCCCAAGCTGCAAGTGGACAGTGGAGATCTTCTCGGGGTCCTGAGCCACCTCTGTCTGGAGAATACCCAGGGTTATGGTGCAGCTCCACAAGCTGAAGGGACCTCAGCTCTTCCCCTGCCACAGAAACCCTCAGGGAAAAGCTTCCAACCCCGATTCTAAAACACCCAACCAAGCAGAACCCACACAAAACCCCAGTGAAACTGTTCCAACAYGTCAYRACCTTCCCTGTTTAAAAAMCAGGCCTTTATTTTGTGTGGGKTTTTTTGCAGTTTAGCAACTCYAGATGTCAAATCTCCATTCAGTTTTTATTTACCTGGCATCCACTCCCCGGGGGCAGATTGAAAATCCCAGCCACAACATGCAAGAGCTGGAATCCTTCCCTTCCTGCCCAGGACATGCTGCTTCATGACAGCACCGAGGTGCTCGCTGCAGTCCTTCCCTCCGTGGGATAAATCCAGGAAAATGGCTGGAATTTCTCAGCCATTGGGAATGCCCTTTGGGATGGGCTGGGATGGCCAGTGGGAACAGGAGGCTGCTGAAATTCTCTGCCCCGTAGAAGGAGGAAATAGGAGGGAGCCTCCTGATCCTCATGATCACCAAGGTGTGAAGGACTGATATCAAATTCAGGGTGCTGGAACTCCTTCAGAGAGGCTACAAGAGCAGCTGAGGGCTTTGGAGTTGTCTAATTTGGAGAAAAGGAGRCTGAKGGATGAACCCATTGCTGTCCACAGCTTCCTGAGGAGATGTGGAGAGGGAAACTCCGATATCTCCAGCCTATTCAGGTGGAAATGGTTCAAAGCTGCATCAGGGGAGGTTTAGACGGAACATTTGGAAGGTTTCTTTACCAAGAGCAAGGTCAAACACTGGAAAAAGTTTCATATCAAGTTGGTCAGTGCTTAAAACTTCTTTAAAAATGCCGTCAATAATTTACTGAAGTTTTGGGCAGTCCTCAACTGGTGAGGCTGCTGGACCAGGTGATGCTTGGACTCACCCTGGAAGGGGCAGATTCCCACACTCAGCCTTTCTCTCTGCTCTCACCCCCCTCACCCTCACACCCCTCCCTGCCCATGGCCCCAGCAGCTCCTCCTTCCCAGTCCTACCACCAGAGGAGCCCCCATGAGCTTGAGGTGCCTGTGGATGTTGAGCAGGGTCAGGGGCTGTCCCAGGGCTGTCCTCCTGCAGGGCTGGCCTTCCTCTGTGGCTCGCTGGCAGTGGCAGAACAGGAGCCGGGCAGACGAGACATCGGGGTCATCCTGACTGTGAGAGAGGAAACAAAACCACCCTGAGCAGGGGTCAAAGTGCCCTGATAGAGGGACCAGGTTTGCTGACAGATTTTATGGATGGTCCTCAAGGTCAGGGATTGGCAGGGCTGTGGAACAGGCTGGGAGAGCTGGAGGTGCTCACCTGGAGAGGAGAAGGATCCAGAGAGAGCTCAGAGCCCCTTGTAGGGCCTAAAGTTGCTCCAGGAGAGCTGGAGAGGGACTGGGGACAAGGGCTGGAGGGACAGGACACAGGGAATGGCTTCAAACTGCCAGAGGGCAGGGATGGATGGGATATTGGGGATTGGGAATTCCTGGCTGGGAGGGTGGGGAGGCCCTGGCACAGGGTGCCCAGAGAAGCTGTGGCTGCCCCTGGATCCCTGGCAGTGTCCAAGGCCAGGCTGGATGAGGCTTGGAGCAGCCTGGGACAGTGGAAGGTGTCCCTGGTTTGCTGTGACACCATCACTGCTGTGATTAACTTTGAGAAGTCACTTCCCTTTCCGATCACACCCATTCCCTACCCCTAAACCAGGGATGTTCTTTGGACACAGATTTTAGAGCTCTCCACGGAAGGGCAGAACGCAATATTAAGACCTCAAACCGAAGCTCGCACCATTTCCCCAGCTCGGGAAGTGGTGGCGCTGCTCTAAGGAGAATTCAGCCAATTCCTGTGCAAAAGACAACCGTGCCATCTAGCGGGAGCCACGAAACACTTCCCTGATACCCGGAAAGGATGGGATGGCACCTCGGGAAAGGCCATCCCAGAGCCTGCCCTGGTGTCACCTGGGACAAAATCCCAGGTAAATCGTTATGAAATTATTAACATTGGAAAAATCGTCCAAGATCATGGAGTCCAACTGCCAAGGCCACAACTAACCTACGGCCCCAAGGGCCACATCCATGTTTTTTCTGATCACTTCCAGGGATGGGAACTCCACTATTGCCCTGTTGTGACAATCAGCTGTTCTGACATGACAACCCTTTCAGAGATGGTATTTTCCTTCACATCCAATCCAAACCTCCCCTGGCCCATCCTGAGGCCGTTCCCTCTCCTCCTGTCCCTGTTCCCTGGGAGCAGAGCTCAATCCCCCCGGCTGTCCCCTCCTGTCAGGGAGTTGTGCAGAGCCACAAGGTCCCCCCTGATCCCCCTTTTCTCCAGGCTCAGCCTCTCTCCCATCTCTCTCAGCCACTCCTGGTGCTCCAGACCCTTCCCCAGCTCCATTCCCTTCCCTGGACACACTCCAGCCCCTCAATATTCTTGTCATGAGGGGCTCAGAACTTTCCCCAGGACTGGAGCTCTCTCAGCAGTGCCAGCACAGGGGACAGTCACTGCCCTGGACCTGTGGTCACACTGTAGCTGGTACAAGCCAGGTGCCCTTGGATTTCCTGACCACCTGGGCACAATGCTGGCTGAGGATGAAACATTTATGTGATGTTCCCACTTCTTCCCTCATTTTCCTGACTGCAGGAGGTCCCATCAGCAGCATTCAGGTGGAAGGATCTGCCATCCCAGTGCAGCTCCTCCTGTGTGGGAAGGGATGGCCAGCGAAGCCATCTGATGGGAATTCCCAAATCCATGAACATCACAGCACAAGGTGGGAGTGTTTCAAGATTTTAACATCAGTTCTCCTAAAATCCCATGGCTGAAGTTTGATCCTTCAGCCATGGAAAAGAGACAGGGGGCTCTTCTCCTGCAAAATCCTACCCAATACAGCCACAAACAGCAAGGCTGCTCCAAGGCCAGGAGTTCAACCAGCTTTTGGAAAGCAGAACAGATCTGACTGATGGCACAACATCTTAATGTCATTCCAGAGCTGGCCTGGGAATCTGAGAGGCCAGGAGTGAGGCAGACCGTGCAGAAAAGCAGCTCTCCATGGTGGCAAGGTGTGTTTGGACATACCTGGTGGCTTTCAGCAGYGCTGCCTCAGTGGTCAGGACAAACTGGTGGACAGACCCAAAGACAAACGCTGCCTCCATCACAGCTCTGTGCTCTGGAAAGGGAAAGGCAAAGGGAACTCAGCTCTGCTCCCTGCACATCTCCTGTCCATCCTTCCCAGGTGTAAATATCAATTCCCAAAATTGCTTTTGGAAACTCTCAAATATCAATTATCCAAATAGCTTTTGGAAACTCTCAGTACAATGTCACAGACTCTGAATACACACTGTGAAGGGAAGTGAGCAACTGGAGCTGGATGCCATTCCTGATTCCCCAGCAAATTCTACTGCAGAGCCAGAGATCTGCTCAGGGATTTATTTATTTATTTTTATGATAGCAACCACTGTCAATTCCCTCTCTAAGTCCATCTCTCAGGGTTTATGCTCCCAGCAAAAACTTTTCTAGTGCAACCAAACCCTTTAGAAACAAAGCAATCCATATGGAAGCAGAAATCTTATGGCTGGGTGGCCCTTTCAGGTTTCCATTTGCAGGATTTTGGGTCAGAAACTCAGCTCCTGGATATTATACTTTATAAAGGCTGTGGGAAGAGAAAAAGGATGGAAAGCTGGGTGTCCATACCTGCTGTCCCAGTAGCTGGTACRTAGGCAAAGACCATGTTGGACTTCCCTTTCAACACATTCTCAATGCTCTCAAGGTCTGCCAGGGTTTCGACGTATTTAACTTCATTAAAGAGCAGGGCACTGAGGAGGCAGAAAAAACCTCTTCAGCAAATGGCTGAAGAGTAAATTTGCAGCCACACAACCATGATGGGAAAAACAGGATAAAAAAACAGGGTAAAATTACAAATTCTTTCTAGCAGATTAAAGATTCACAGCCAAGTGGAGKTGCCCAGGTGTGTGCTGGTGAGTCGGCTCAAGGGAAAAAGTTTAAGAGGGTCAAACCATAAGGAAGAAAGGAGCAAAGCCAAAACTGCTTGGCTGAGAGCAAACTCTGGAACTTGTGGGGTTGGCATTTAGTGGGAATAGAAAGGAAAAGGATTTCAGAGGGTGGGATATGGTCTGGACTTACAACAAAACGTTGGCAACGATGGAGTTCACATCGAACAGGGCGTCGGTGGGGAACTCCCGGATCAGGCGGTTTCCTCTGGGGAGGGAAGAGAGAGTCACCAAAGGAACTGGGAGACATTCCTGCAGGGATCACAGCTGGGAAAGGGAGCCAAGGCAGGCACAGGATAGGGGGAATGATGGAGAGAGGGCAGAACACCTTTTGAGATGCCTTTGATCCAAGYTGGGAATTGTTCAAGCCCAGGTACCATTGGCTGAGCAGGTTCCTACTGCACCTGGGCACCTGGTGGCCTCAGCAGTGCTCAGAGAATGGTTGGATAGAGGATCTTAAAGGTCTTTGGAATGTTGGATAGAGGATCTTAAAGGTCTTTGGAATGGTTGGATAGAGGATCTTAAAGGTCTTTGGAATGATTGGATAGATGATCTTAAAGATCTCTGGAATGGTTGGATAGAGGATCTTAAAGATCTTTGGAATGGTTGGACTTGATGGTCTTAAAGGTCTTTTCCAACCTCAATGATTCCATGATTTTAAGAACAGTCAATGGGAACTGAGCTGATATGAGGAGAAGCTTCCAGCTGACACAAGACCAAGAGCTGAATCTTCTCACCCAGGGCAAAGGAGTCACCCCCACAAACAGGGAGAGCATCAAAAAGGGTTTCTTTCTAGGACCAGACCCAAAACCTCATGGTCTGAGTACAATTTTGGAGCTGGAAGGCTACCAGGACAGGAGAACAACGATGGAAGACTTCTCCTGTGGTTCCATTGAACAGCTCATCCCTCTGCTGCTCCAAGGAATGGGGGGCAGGATGGGAGGCTTCACACCGAGGACAAAGCATCTACTCTGCTGGAATTTTGGGGGAATTATTGCTCAGTTATGTAAATCACTGCTGTCCTCATGGCTCCTCTCATTCCTTCAGATATCTCTGAGTGTTGACAGCATTTCCTTCAAACACCACCCAGAAATCCCCCTCACCTGAACAGGAAAGCTTTCCTTAATGCATTTTCTTTTCCACAGTATCTTGAGACATCCTCTTTGGGACAATTCACCTAGACAGAAAACACATGTAATTACAGATTCACAGAAAACACATGTAATTACAGATTCAGCCCCACAATGCTACACACCCCCTATAGCTGCCTTCCATTCAATGGTGTAAATCCAGCCTTTCCAAAGCTGCTGGGAAAGAAAATACACCAAAATATAGACCAGAGATGGGGAGTGGAGTTTGTGCTTCAGCTCTCCAGCTCAGCCTGCTGGTTGGGTCAGTAGAGATCAAAAGACCCCACGATGTGCCCAGCATATTCAAAGTGATAGATCACTGCTTGCTTATTGAACTTGGCCTGYAGATGGAGGAAATGAAATAAATCCAAATATAAATACATATAAGCACTTYACTTTGAGTCTAGTTACACTTGCCTGAATYTGTAATTCCCTCACGTAAATCTGCACAAAATTTCAGCTAAAAATTCTTTTGTATGAAAGATTTATTGCACTGCGCTGAAAAGAAGTGAACMAACCTCATCCATCATGGAACATGGACACTGGCACRGGGTGCCCAGAGAAGYTGTGGCTGCCCCTGGATCCCTGGAAGTGYCCAAGGCCAGGCTGGAAGGGGCTTGGAACAACCTGGGAYAGTGGAAGGTGCTCCTGCCYWTGGGASGGGRGAATGAGATGAGATTTAAGGTTCSTTTGAACCAAAACTGTCCTGTGATTCTACATTTTTATGAAAAATCTGTGTTCATCCCTTCCCTACTCATCTCCTCTCACCCCTCCTTACTCCCCCCAGTCCAGCAGCTCCCCTGTGCCCCATTTACCTTCACCACAGAAATTCCATAGTCCTGGAGGGTCTCAGCTGAGCTCTCAATCTGCTCCAAGAAGGGCTGGGCATCAGAAGAAACTGAAACACACACAAAAAAATCTTCTGCAAGTCCTTAAGGTGAAGAGCATCCTCCTGCCCCACACTGAGATGTGGAAGCTGTGCTGCTGCCTCAACCCACACCAATATCTTTGGGAAAACACAGCCAGGGATCATGGAGAACAAAAACAAGGTCTCCTCTTAATCCATGACAGCTTTTAGTTCTCCTGTTTGTAAGGGATTCTCCTTTTCATGGCAGATATTATGGAAAAGAAATCCATAATTGAGGAGACAATTCTGTAGGAAATTGGCTTTCTCCTCTATGGTAGCTCCAGAAAATAAATGAAAATGTTTGAAGGACCAGGACTGAGGACAGAGCCAGGAAAGAACCCATCCCAAGAGGATGGTCAGGAACACTTGGAACTGTGCAAACACAGTATTTAACCAGCTCTTCAAAACCCTTTGGGTTTAAAAATCTCAAAAATTGCCTCTTCATTGAGGGCCACAAGTTGATTAGAGGGATGGAGCACCTCTCCTAGRAGAAAGGCTGAGAGAATTGGAAAATAAAAGTGTCCAAGGCCAGGCTGGACAGGGCTTGGAGCACCCTGGGACAGTGGAAGGTGTCCCTGCCATGGCAGGGGTGGGATGGGATGGGTTTTAAGATCCTCCCACCCCAAACCATTCCTTGATTCACAAAGCCTTGCTGAGCCCCACACTGATGTAAATTCACATTAACCACGTACCACTGGGGGTGAAAAAAGCCAGGGATGCTTTCCCAGCTTCCAAGCCACTGAAATAGTGCTGGGGGCTCTGCTCCTGCTGYAGGCCAGCACTTCCACTCCTTGGGATGGAGGAGGCACAGAAGAGCAGGAAAACCAAGGAAGGAACCCATCTTTCCTCTTGGGCTGGCATGGCTGTTCCCAGCTACAGGCACAGGAGAGTCACAGCTGAGGGGAAAAATAAAAACTATGTAATATATTATACACAAACACACACAAACAGATATCTGGGTGTTTCTCTGTTTTAGTCTCTGCTACATGACTACAATTTCCAACTGTGGAAATTATTATTAATATGRCACAAACATCTTGAGGATGTTATGAATCAGTCACTCAATCCACAGGTGACTCAGGCAACTGCAAAGAGGACAGCAGAGGCCACTCTYTTCCCTTCAAGTGCACAGACCCTCAGTGCTTTCAGCTTAGGGCTGTTTTTCTTCCCTCCTTTTTATTTTTTTGAGTAAAACAAAAATTCCACACACAGGCAGCAAGCAGTGACAGCATCATCCACAAACCCCCGCCCAAACTGTCTCAATTCCTCCTAAAAAGCTTTGAGGATGCCAATAGAATTCATGCGGCCCTGAAAGGTGTTTGCAAAGGGATGGGACATGGTGAGGGTGCCAAAAATCAAATGGCCATTTGAGATTCAGACAGGAAAGCTCCTGTTTTCATTGCAAAACAGAAATGTGCATCTTCTGTGTTTCTGGTCAGAGTGCAGAAGAATTTTGCAGGTATATTTATAAAGATTTTGTAGCTGAAGTCCTCAACATGAGGATGTGGTGCTGGTGCTTCAGGAACACATGTTCCGAATTATATATTTTTTTTATAGAACAACTGATTTCTCTCTTATATTTATAAGGATTTATGTAACTGAAATGGATGCTATTTTTATATATACTGCTGGGGCTTTTTTTTCTTTACCCTGTGATCAGAAGTTCTATACAGTTTAACCTTTAAAGGATTAATTAAAAAATYAAATTACCCTTGACCTAAAATATGTGTAGCAATAAATCAAGACAAGAATTCTGTAAAATTTTTTCTGCTCCTGGCTACTGATTTTACCACCTTTTTGTAGCCACCTTGCCTTTCACAGAGAATACATTTATTTAGTGTGAATTTTCCTGGTGGATTTGGGTGGAAAGTGTCCCTGCCCCCAAGGGATGGAACAAGAATGATCCTTAAGGTCGCTCCCAACCCAATCCAATCTGGCATTCTGTGATTCCATTGCTCACTTCAGCCATGGCAGTGAGGTGAGGAGGTTAAAGAAAGGATGAAAAGGATGAAAATTCACCTTCTTCCCAGTCCACTCCTTCCCAGCCTGCCCCTCAGGGATTGGTCAGTGCCACTGGAGCATGGCTGCTCCTGGCCAACAAAGGGACAAAGCTGGGACTGAATCCATGCAGAATTTGCATCAGGAGCTGCAGCTGCTTCCCCCAACAAACAGCCCTGTGTCCATGGGCTGTCACTCCCTCCAACACCCTGGCAGAGGCTGTCAGCTCAGCATGGCTGCTCCGGATCAACCAACCTCAAACACTCCCCAAACACAGGGAAAGACCCWCTGCCATGCTCCAGGGGTGAGGAGTTAGTGCCAGCCTTCACAGGCTCCTTCTCCTGGAGCTGAGAGGTTCAGATCAAGCCTGAAGGCACTACAGAGATGGAAACACATTCATGTTTTCTTTTTCATCTCAAAACCTCCAGTTCTCTCCTTTTCCAGCTTTGGGCAGTGTCAGGCATTTCTGGTTCCGTGCCCTCCCATCTGTTCCCCTGGCTTACAGAGGGGAACAGGGATAAGGCTGGGGGGGTGATGTTTATTAAATGACAAACTTGGCTACAGCAGGATGGAAAAATAAACACAAGCCTGGCATGTGGGAACGAGCCCGGGTCAAATGGGAGAGCTTTGCTGTCAAGGCAGGAAGAGGAGCAGCCTCCAAGGACTCAAAGATGTCACAGGATGATACCTGCAGGAGGTGCCAGCAGTTTAAAACACAATTCCATTYCCCAAGAGGATCTTAGAGCTCCTTTCAGGGCCTAAAGGGGCTGCAGGAGAGCTGGAGAGGGACTGGGGACAAGGGATGGAGGGACAGAATGAGGGCAGGGTTAGATGGAATATTGGGAAGAAATTATTCCCTGTGAGGGTGGGGAGGCCCTGGCACAGAGTGCCCAGAGTGCCCTGTGGCTGCCCCTGGATCCCTGGAAGTGTCCAAAGCCAGGCTGGATGGGCTGGGAGCACCCTGGGACAGTGGAAAGTGTCCCTCCCCATGGCAAGTGGTGAAATAGGATGGGTTTTTAAGGCACCTTCTAACTCAAATCATTCTGTGATCCTGTGAAAAAAAAAAGCTTCCTTACTCAAGCCCTCTCACCTCCTCATCATTCCATCCTGCCCTGCAGCTTCCCTCCACTCCCCATCAAGCCAAACCTGAATATTCAACTTTTAAACCATTTCCTCTGCCACCTCTTTCTCATCAATGGAAAATTAACACCCTAGGGCTGGAAAAAGCCAGCAGCCTGGACCACTGACACTTGCAGGATTGTCAGAGATGTGTGAAAATACCAYGGATGTGTGAACCAGCTCCGTGTCACTGCTAGGAAATCTTAAGCCCGTGGACAAGGGGCAGCCTAGCACAGCACTAATGCCAGGCCTGGTTCATGTTTCCATGGCCATAATTCCAAGACAGAGCCAGGGAAGGTGATTAAGGCCACTGCAGATGACCTAAAGGGAAAACAAATCCACCAGAGACACTGGGCAMAAACTCTTGTGGGGTCATAAATCGTTTGTGCCACATCAATTTTGCTTGGGAATCAGTGGAATTCACAGGCTGGGATCCCTACATTCCCTCTGGGATCCCAGCTGCTTTCCCTGACACCTTTCCTCACRCAAACCTCAGCTGCCAAGATTTATCATCGAGGAGGGTGTTGTGGGGTGGGATTTAAGAGTAACATGACAAGGATGAAGCAGTGTCCTACTGGAATCTTGGACTGCACACAAAGCCAGCTGGAAACATCTCCATCATCCATGGGATTCAAAGGAAGCACCATCAGCCTGGACTTTACTGCCACTGATGTAAAATCTACCCTTTATGGCTTGTCAAAATATCATCATAGAATGGTTTGGGTTGGAAGGAACCTGAAAGAGCAAAGGTCCAACCCCTGCCATGGGCAGGGACACCTCCCRCTGTCCCAGGCTGCTCCAAGCCCTGTCCAGCCTGGCCTGGAACATTCCAGGGATCCAGGGGCAGCCACAGCTTCTCTGGATAACCCATTCCAGTGTCTCCCCATAAATACACTACACTGCTGCTCCCTCTTCCTTATATCTTACTCCTTATATCCCCTCCCTGGGTAGATGCTCCTAAACCAGGAGCATTTAGGATGGTCCTAAATGGAGTCACTTCAAGCTCTCCCATGATAATTGACCCAGATGAGGCCTCTCKTTGCAGCAGGACACTCACCCCACACCCAGCTGGCACAGTTTGCTGGCAGGATTCTTGCCTGCCTTCCATGCCCTTCTGGCAGCATTTAACCAGTGMGCTGCTCTCCCAAATTTCCTGGCAGGGAGGACACAAACCAGACTTCAAATCCATAGGGAGCTGACTCAATCCCTTAGCTACAGAGGCTRAAGCACTCTCTCCAGCACAACTGGAGGTCCCAGCACAAATATCCCCAAAACACAAGGCAGAGCAGAACACTGAYGGCTCTTCCTGCATTTTTGTCCATGCAAACAAGTTTCCTTGAGGTGATCCAGAAAAATTACAGAATCATTCAGGCTGGAAAAACCCTCTAAGATCATCAAGTCCAACCGTTCCCCAATGGAAAATGGCTTCCCACTGCCAGAGGGTGGGGTGAGATGGGATATTGGGTAGGAATTCTTCCCTGGGAGGGAGGGAAGAACCCTGGCACAGGGTGCCCAGAGAAGCTGTGGATGCCCCATGATCCCTGGAAGTGTCCACGGGTGGGTTGGATGGGGCTTGGAGCAATCTGGGATAGTGGAGGGTGACCCTGCCCACGGCAGGGGTGGAATGGGATGAGTTTTCAGGTCCCTTCCAACCCAATCCRTAAGATTCTTTACCTGATATTCTATTACTTTTCATAGTTTTCACTACGCACTTCCCTTCCCTGCTCCAGACTTTTCCYACACAGCCAACAAGTTAATTATCAAACCCATGATAATTATCACTAGCTCATTATCACTATCCAATTTGGTGGCCCATCTTCTCTCACATTTCCCAAAGCCAAGTTCTTGCACACAAATGATTTRAGTAGAATGGAAAAGTTGMAGTTCTCCAGYGTTTGGTGCTGGAATAGAGCTGAGWTGCTTCTCYAGRGCTTTSAGATGAACCTGCAGTCATGGGACTGAAATAACCACGGGCCCTTTTCACCCACTACATCTCCCTACAGCCTACAGGGGCGGCTGTAGGATCATCTTGAGGCACAGGAATCCTTCTCTGGGAAACATCCAAGTATATCCCARCCTGTTGCCAGGTGTGCTTTGCCTCGCTGGGTTTTTGCAGTGATATTCCCACACTGCTCCTGATCCTGCCACTTCCAGAAGAGTTTCACTTTCATTTTCACTTCCAGGTCCAACTTCCCAGCAGCTGCAGCCGGGTCTCGCTTGCTATCCAAAGCTGCAGGAAGRACATGCCAGGAGAGAAGGGCTTTGATTCCTACCCACAGCAGACAGCCCACAGCATGGAATCACGGAATCATTTAGTTTGGAAAAATTCTCTAAAACCATGGTGTCCAACCATTCCGCCAGCACTGCCAAACCCAGCACTAACCCATGTCCCCAAGTGCCACACGCACACGGTTTGTGAGCACTTCCAGGGATGAATCTACCGCTTCCCTGACAGCATCACCACCTGCTGAATTTCCCGGTGGAACCGGCATCACCCACTGCTGCTGTCCCAGTCTGTCCTGGGGGACCGGACCCGCGAAGTCCCTGCAAAGCAGCGGCACCGTATGCAAGCTCCGGACGGCTTAAAGCTGTCACCTACCTGGTGTCCCGAGCATTCAGGCCGATGTCCTCACTCCTCCTCCGCGGTGCTAGGACAGCATCCTGCCCCGAGGATTGTCCAAGGCACAGGGATTGTCCCTTGTCCCCGCTRGCTGGAGAACGCGGGATGCCCAGACCAGTGCTGAGGGAATCCGTGCCAGCCGGGCGCTGGGATCCCCGAGCCGAGTGAGGCCTCTCGGTATCCACGGGCTCCCAAATCTCTTGGCAGTGCGAATCCCTGCGGCGATCTCTGAGCTCTCCCTGCGCCCACAGGGATGGCCGCCTGCACCAAACAGACGGACCGTGAGCTACGGCCGGACCGGACATCCCCTCAACGCCACAGACCCGACCCGCGGCGGGGATGCTCCCACACCCCAATTCTGCCTGCGGGGGCGCCCGGCGCTCCCCTCACCGCCCCGCTAATCCCTTCGCGTCCCACTCTCATCCCTTTCTCATCCGTTTCTCCTCTCTCACCCCTCACCGCCCCTCTCTCTCTCCCTCCCCATCCCCTTCTCCCCTCTCACCCCTCGCCGCCTCTCAGGGAGGGAGGGAAGGATGGCGGGCGGGCGGCGTCGCCAACCCAACAAGCAAAGCGGCGGCCCGGCGGGGGCGTCGCGCGGGTGATTGACAGGCGGCGCCGACCAATGAGAACGGCGGATGGGCGCGGCATGGGGCGGGGCCGGCGGGCGGCCAATGGGGAGAGCGCGCCGCCGCCCCTCAAATCAGCGGGCTCAGCCGGCTGTCCCCGGCACGGAGTTGTTTGGCGGCGGGCGGGCGGGCGGTGCAGCCGGGCGGGCGGGAGGAGGAGGAGGAGAAGAAGGGGAAAGGGGGGGCACCCCTTTGTTGCATGGGGGTGTCCAGCCGGGGCTGAGGGAAGGCAGGGAGGGGGTCGGTGCCTCCCGCTGCCCCATGGCCCTCGCTGAGGGGGCGGCCGTGCCCTACGCCGTGGAGCTGGGGCTCACCGTGCTCCACACGGCGCTGTACGCCGCGCTCTTCCTCTTCGCCTACCTGCAGCTCTGGCTGCTGCTCTACTACCGCGAGCGGCGGCTGAGTTACCACACGCTCTGCCTCTTCCTCTGCCTGCTCTGGGCAGCCCTCAGGACCACCCTGTTCTCGTTCTACCTGCAGAATTCCCTGCAGGCCCTCCGCCTCCAGCAGCCCTTCGCCCACTGGCTCCTGTACTGCCTGCCCGGCTGCCTCCTCTTCTCCAGCCTCTGCCTCCTCAACCTCTATTTCGCCGAGGTAAGTTTTGCCTTTGGGCAAAACCTCTCTCAAATTCCCCATCCCAAACCCTCGCCCTGCGGGACACCGGGGCTGGAAGGTCCTTTTCAGCCACCTCTCCAAACTTGGAGTGCCCTGGAGCCGCGGCTTTGGGGTGGGCTGGGGATGTGAGTGTCCAGGTGAGGCTGGCAGGGAATCCCGGGGCTGTGCCCTCGGTGGAGGCTTTGGGACAGGCTGAGGGGATGCGGGGATTGTTCCCGGAATCCCGGCTTGCAGGGAGGCTCGGGGATATGCCCTGAATCCCGGCTCGGAGGGAGGAACAGGGATTGTGTCCTGAATCCAGCCCTCGGTGCAGACTTTGGGACGGGCTGGGGGGATACGGGAGCTGTGCCCTAAATCCGAGCTCAATGGGGAAGACGCTGGGACTGCGCCCTGAATCCCGGCTTGGGGAGAAACACAGGGATTATGCCCTGAATCCAAGCTTGGGGGGCGGGGTGGGATTTGGGGAGGATGGTGCGAGCTAAAAGTGTGCCCCGAATCCCAGCACCGGGGCTTTGGGGTGCGGGGCTGTACCCTGACTGCAGACCTCGCGATAGGTGGGGGGGGGACAGGCACATGCCCTGAATTTGGGATTTGGGGGGTGCAGAGAGATGCCCTGCACCCAAATGGGGTTCTCCTCTTTGCAACCCGGAGCTATGGGGGGGGGTTGTTTGTGAGGGGGTGTCACTTGAGGGACTGTTTTGCATCTTTTTTTAATTGATTCCCCTTCTGCAAAGGGGACCAGAAAGTGGCAGCAGCAGGGGCTGCTCTGGCCTGGAGTGATGCCAACCATTACGTCACCAGCCAGAGCCTCTTCTGCTATTGTTGCTGCGCTCCCTCCTTCTCTCCATCGCTCCTCTGCGAACCGGGCTTGTTGTTCCGCAGCTTGTCAGACAAAAAAAAAACCCGAGATCCCTCACACGGCAGCCCGGGGCAGCCGAGGGGGGCCCCTTCCCAGCACCGGGATCGCTGCTGGGACAGTGCGGAGCCGCTTGTTATTGTCACCGAGCTGTGTCCCTGCTTTTCTGGGTTTCCCCATCACTCGTGTGGTGATTTTTTTATCCTCCTTTCCTTAGTCCTTCCACTTGTCTTTATCTCCTAAAGCCCTGGCTCTGCCCTCCCCATCCTCCTCCTGAATATTTTGTTTCTGCTCCAGTTTCTCGTGAGCAGCCCTCTGCTCGCCTTGCCTCCCGGTTCGCCGCCTATTTATGAAACAAGTCACCACTTTTTCCTTCCAGCTTTGTTGTTGTTGTTGGGATTCTTTGCTCTGCAGCTCTCAGCTGTTCCCCAGCCTCACAAAGGAATCGCTAACACACAGCGAAATCGCTCCGTCGCTCCGATGTGTCACCCACGGGAGTTATGATTTCATTTTCCCCAGGACACCAACGTTCACATGATACTTGGAGCAGTGGGGTTGTTCAGCTGTTTTGGTTCTTCTCTTCCCCCTCCTTCTTTTCTCCCAATAAACACCTGGAAGCTTGGGGGGTGAGCTGCCTGTTGCAAAAACCGTTGGAGGTGTTGTTGGTGGAGTGGCAGTGGAATAACAAATGGTGCAGAAAGTGCACAAATCCATCTCCTCTGCTCAAGGGAGCTTGACCTCCCGATTGCTCCAGCCAGGAGGGGTTTGTGTCCCTTGAAAGGCAGGGATTCTGTGCTYTGCTCCACAGAGTGGCTGGATTTCTGCTTTCCTCTAGGTCACTGGATTTGACAGCAGATTTGCCTCTCTGCAGGCTTGTTTAAASGCTCCCTGAAAGTAAATCCAAATAGATTGCCAGGCTTCTCCTCCTCCCACGATATCTGTTTTTTCAGTGAACTCTGCGTATATCCCACTTCTTTCTCCTTGAAGACCTAGAGCCAAGGGAAATCCTGTCTGAGGAAATAAGAGCTCTGAATCTGGAGTGGGGAAGGATAAAGTGACTTATGAAAATGGGTCTGCTTGCTCAGCTCCAGGGAGGGCCTGACACTTCCCTGGCACAACCTGGAGGGGTGCCCATCACTTTGTGGGGTTTTTTGGGTGATCACAGCGTTGAAGCTCCAGGGATTTGGAGGAAAAGGGCAGAAAGCCTCTGGTGCTTTTCTGGCTCCCATGATCTGGAGGTGACTGGTGTGTTTACTGGTGTGAGCTCAGCAGGACGTGCCCATCCATTCCCAATTTTTCAGGGCCACTTGGCAGCAGCCTGGAGAAGGGCACTGGGCTTCTTCTGCCCTGGGGGTGGCACGCTGATCCAAGATGCCCTCAGAAAAAAAGCAGGGGCTGCTGCTGTGCTGAGGGCCTGGCTCATTGTCCCTGWGCACAGAGCCTCCTTTGTGGAGATGCTGGAGAAAGGGCATCTGGGGAAGAAAATGGCCTGTGCTGTTATTTGAGCTGATCTTGCTTGATTTAGAGAGCTCCTCAGGCTGTGTAGAAGCTGAGGATGGAATGGTGGTAGGGAAGAAGCTCCAGGGAGCAGATACCCATGGAGAACTGGCATTCCTTTRCACTCCAGGCTGTTTTGGGGCTGAAATTCAAATTAGCTGAACTGCCTGGTGTTCTTCCTTTCTGTGGGGACAGGCTGTCCTCTTCCTATCCCATTGTGGCTCCTGAGGGGATGCAGAGACCTGACAGAAYGAGTGTGGGATGTGTATTTCTTTTTCATAGAAACCCAAAATGGTTTGGGCTGGAAGAGACCTTAAAGATGATCCCATTCCACCCTCTGCCAGAGGCAGGGACATCTTTTACTATCCCAGGGTGCTCTAAGCCCTGTCCATCCTGGCCTTGGACACTTCCAGGGATCCAGGGGCAGCCACAGCTTCTCTGGGCACCCTGTGCCAGGGCCTCCCCACCCTCACAGCCAGGAATTCCTTCCCAATATCCCATCTAACCCTGCCCTCTGGCCCTGGGAAGTAATTCTGTCTTTCCTGTTGGTCCATGGTCTTGTCCAAAGTCCTTCTCYAGCTTTCTTGTAGACTCCWTTTGGGTGCTATTTCCACCTGGAACATCAAAAAGTGTACTGCCTTTAGCTTGGGAGCATCTCTTCCTTTCTSCTTCAGCTTTTACCAGAATGAGTCCTTTCCTGGCAATCTGGAGTTCACTGTCCATCAGGTCAGAATTCCTCAGATCCATTCCCAATCTTTCTTCAGTAGCTCAGATATCCAGCCTAGGATGCTTCTTTGGAATCGCTCCTGTGCTGCCAGCTGGACATCTGCTTGAATAATGCCATCTTTCCCAAGAGTCTGCCACTTCCAGCTTTTCCCCATGTCTTTGTCAGGAACGTGGTACATGGAAATGGAAATACATGGAGGGACTCAGCCTGGAGCAAAGGAGGCTCTGTGGGGACTTTGTGGCTCTGCACAACTCCCTGACAGGAGGAGAGAGCGGTGTGGGGTTGGGCTCTGCTCCCAGGGAACAAGGGACAAGAAGAAATAACCTCAAGTTGTATCAGGGGAGGTTCAGATTGGATATTAGGAAAAATGTTTTCATGTAAATGGTTGTCAGGCATTGGTAGAGGCTGCTTGGGGAGGTGTTGGAGTCCCCATCCCTGGAGGTRTCCAAGGAATGCCTGGATGTGGCACTCAGAGCTCTGGGCTGGTGACAAGGCAGGGATCAGGCACAGGTCAGACCTGATGGTCTTGGAGGTCTTCACCAATCCCAACAATTCTGTGAAATGGAGCCACAACAGCCTTCATCTTCCAGGCTTAATCCACCTTCTTGAGCTCTTGGCACTCCTGGTTCTGCTGGGAATCTGCAGCTGGCACAGGGATGAGTGAGGAATGGTGGGTTTTATGGCATGGCCAGAGCCCTTCACCTGGCTGGGTTTCTCTGAGTGCTCCCTGTGCTGAGATGACATCAGCCCCTTGCTGCTCTGATTGGAACGAGCAGCCAGCCTGGGAGATGGTTKTTTTTCCTGCTCTGGATCCTGGGGAAAACTGGAGAAGTCTCCATCTTCAATGCACTTTCACCTTCCTTGTGCAGCAGACCCCTGGCAGTGCCCTCTGCCTCGGAGGGACAGCTGGTGAGGGATCACTAAACTCCAACCTGCTCCATCCCAGAGCTGATGATTCCCATGTTTCCCAGGTGAACAGGTGGCCATGCTGGGCACCAKCTATTCTAGGAAGGGAGGGAACATGCAAAGTTGCAGCCTGTGTTCATGATGGCACAGAATGATCTCAGTATTAACAAGGATGGTGAGAGATTCTCGTGGATAGGTCCAGCTTTTCCTCTGCGGGTTGGAGAGGGGGTTTTCACACTTATTACGAGGTGTGATCCCAAAATAGTCCGTGCTGTGCTCCCATTATCTCGTGTGGTGAGAGCAGAGATCTGTCTGGGTATGTCCCTACAGCTGAGCTGTGGTGGGGCAGGGCATGRCTGTGTCTTGTGTCTGCAGAGCCCACACTCTTGTTGTCTTTATGAAGCAAAAAAAAATTTATTCCAGTGCATAATGGCAAGCTCCTGGCTCTCCAGGATCTTCCAGCTCTGTAGAGTACAGCCTGAGTGCCTCACTGTTAGGGTTAAGATCCTGCTTTTTGCAGCTGCTGAAAGTGCTCCTTGGATTCACCTGTGGGATCTGTGATGTGTCACTTATCTTCCCTTGGCAGCTGTGACACCTCCAGTGCACCTTCTGAGGGTGAGTGTGTGTTTTAAACACACCCTCAGCAAGTTCACTCTCTGGGCTGTGATGTGAGCAAGGAAATCACGTTTATGGGATAAAACCACTCATCACAAACCCAAAAGCCTCTGACATCGTGGGGGGTCTTTGGGATCTTATCTCAGCYTCCCCTTCTGGCTGATGTGGAGTGCTCAAGGGATCCATGGCTCTGGAAAAGCATGTGAATATTCCAAACTGCTGTAAAAGACTTGCTTAGGAGCAAAYATTCCCAGTCYTGCTGCTYTGGGCTGCTGAGACCTCTRCTCCCTGTTTCCATGGTTSACTTCTGGAGCTGGGCTYAGCTCAGATCTGCTGTTCAGTTTGCAGGGATTGCTGCTCACAGCTTGGCCTGATGCAGCTGCTGAAGCACAGGGGTCTGTTCTGCATCTTTTTCTGGAGAACAGGATTGCTCCTGAGCTCTCTGTGCTGGATTTCTCAYAGCAGAACCCTCAGCTTTGGCTGTCCTTGGGCTCTGAGAGCAGCAGAGCCCCRTGCAGGAGGCTCAGAGCTCATCTCAAGGCTAAGAACCCAGAGACACCCTGTGCACACTGCTGGTGGCACCTCCTGACCCAGTCCCTGGGAAGAAAAGGCAGCCTTCAGATAACTTATCAGCCTTAATAACTAAAACCACCAAAACAGTGGTGTCTGTTCCCTCCCTGAAGTTATAGGAATAWCTACCCAGGGGCTAATAAAAGTGTGAGGCTGGAGCTGTGGTCTCCCTCTGCTTTCCATGGCAGCAGGCCAAGCKTGAGGCTCAAATTGCTGTTGCACTCTTAACCCTGACTCAGCTTTGTGTGCTTTAATCCCTGGGGCTGCAGGGGAGGCTTTGGGGAGAGAGTCCTGCCCAAAACAGCATCTTCCTGTGAGCCAGGGGCTCTTCCCTGCTCAGCTGAGGGGCTGATCTCTGCTGAGAACACAACATTCCCAGCTGGAATAYGAGCCAGGGACTCTGCAGTGCTGTTCAGAGGCTGAGGTTACAGACAGCTCTTCTGGGAGTCACAGATTCCTCAGATGGATTTCCAGGCTGCTGGAAATGGGTGCTGAACATGCTGGATGTCACCGATGCCTGTTTTGACAGGACAAGAGGAAATAGCCTCAAGTTGTGCCAGGGAATATTTAGACTGGATGTGAGGGAAAAAATCCTTCACTGGAAGAGTGGTCAGGCKTTGGAACAGTCTGTTCAGGGCAGTGGTGGAGTCTCCATCCCTGGAAGTGTTTAAAAAACACGAGGATATGGCACTTCAGGGCATGGTTTAGTGGTGAATGTGGCAGTGCTGGATTAATGGTTGGGCTGCATGACCTTGGAGGGCTTTTCCAGCCTCAGCGATTCAGTGATTCCATGACACTCCCAAAGTGCCTGAATGTCACCTAGAGGCAAAAAAAAAGAGGATTCAGGGATATTTCTGGTTTGGAGTCACCACGTGGCCCTTCCAAGGACTGTTTTCCTGTAACTCAGATGAGTTTTAGGGCTCAGAGTGGGTTGTGCCACACTCCTGTAGTTCTGTGGGCCAGGACAATGGGACAGAGAACATTCCTGAGGCTGGATACCTCCCTCTGCTGAAGAACTGTGTCATTCCCCACTAAGTGCTGCTTGAGCTCTTCCTCCCTCAGCGTTGGGAAGAGGAGCCCAGCAGTGGAAATGGAAGAAGAGAATTCTCTTCTTGGAACTGAATCACTGAAGCTGTCCAGTGTCCTTTGAAATGCTTGGAACCACCACAGTGGCTCAGACAACGCTCAGATCCTGAAATGTCTCTGGAAACCCCGTTGGCAGCAGCCTGATTCCTGAAACTCGTGTGCCATTTCCACCTCCGTGCTGACTTGGGAGCAGGAGCCAAGGAATCCCACCAGGATAAAAGCTGACTAAGGCTGCCTGGGAGGAGATGAGTGATCCTTCACTGCAGCCAGTCTGGGAGCWGACAGGGAAAGCTCCATGGGGGAAATGGGAAACTGAACCTCTACACGTGTGCWGTGATCYCTCAAGTACAGGTGGGATCTGCCTSKMTGYCTCTTCCCAAGTTCCTTCAAAGTCTCTAATCAGGAGCTTTRCCTGTGGCTGAATGTGACCCCTGAGTGTCTGCACCTTCCTAAACTGCCCCTACTTCTCTAACATGGAAATCCAGCATGGTTGAGGTCCTAAAATGCCCTGAAACTGGGAAAAGGAGATGTATTTTTGAAGGACTTCAATGATTTTTAAATGCTAAACTCCCTTCTTTTCTTGAAGTCTTTGAGGTGTGGTGTTAAAGTCCTTGTCACATATGGGTTGTTCGATAAGTTTATGGTTATTGGGTAYCTGTATTTGGGCTGGGCTTTTATAAGATAAAAACTGCCAGTCTTTTGGGTCCAGGGCAAGACTTGGTGCTAATAAATAATCCAAAGTCCTTGRAGATGTCCAGCTCTGGTTGCCCTGTTTATCTCTCGACTAAGCTGAAAGGAAACTGTAGGTCATGTAAAGTAACCCTGTGCAAATCTTTCCTCCAGGTCATATTCAAAGTGAAATGTGCAGCTGAATTCAACAAGTACAAGTAAGTGCTGCTGTGCTGCCCTTCCCTTCGAAGCTGATCCCAGGGGAACTGACTGCAGTGCTGGGAAATGGGAGGGTCAGCCCCAAAGGCTGAACAGAACCCTAATTCCATACCTGTGCTCTGGGAAAGGAGCAGAGCTGGATCTTGGAGCAGGGCTGGGAGCTTCAGGGGTGCCAGGGGAGCTGAAGCATCCCAGTTGCCCTGGATGAACTCAGGGTCACTCTGAGCTGTCCCAACCCAGGAAAGCTCAGCAGAACAAGGCTTGAGGAATGGGTGAGACCCAGATTTGTGCCGGCAGGTGCTTCCCAGGGAAACCCACAGTGGCAAACATGAGCTCTGGTGGCTCTGGATAAAGGAGTTGCAGTGGTTGTGATGACTCATGGCTTATTGACTGGAGTTAATGCAGAGCTGGAGCAACACTTAAAATCTGCAAGATAAGAACCTGACTGTCAGAAGATGAGTCTTGTAACTCATGACTGCTTACGCTGCTCATGTGTTCTGAGAGCAGCTCCAACAAATCCTCTGCAGCCTTGGGCTGCCGACACAACCCCTGAAATTTGCTGGAATGCCTGAGCTTCCCGGCAAGCAGAGCACTGGGAGGGTCTGCTGACACAGGAGGGAGGTGCACAATGAACCTGGCCTTGTCTCACTGACCATTTTTCCCTTCACCATCTCTCCAGGGTCCTGTTGTACCTGGGCTCCATCCTCACCAGCCTGCTGTTCTTAGTTGTGAATTTAACCTGTGCAATGCTGATCCACGGCGAGGTCCCGGAGAAGCAGCTGAGGTGGACGGTCCTTGCCCGTGCCCTGGTCAACGACAGCCTCTTCATCCTCTGTGCCATCTCCCTGGCCTGCTGCATGTGCAAACTGGGAAAGATGTCTTCAGCCAATGTCTACCTCGAGTCCAAGGTGGGTGAATGCCTTGGGAGCTCCCACTGGGATTGCTCAGCCCTCACCCTGGCTCCTGAGCTGCTCTTGCTCAAATTCTCCTGGCAACTCTTGGATTCCTCCCTCCACAAAGTGTATGCTCCTGCTGTGGGAATAGTTTCCTACATGTTTTAGGGGAGTTTTTTATCTGCAGCTTTGGCATAACAGATTTATGAACCATTTCTGCTTTTCAATCTTAGAAAATCTCAGCTTTGCCTTTAATACAAGGTTCTCTTAGGAGCAGCAGGTGAAGTTTCTGCAGTGTGGTGTTACCTGTGGCAGGTGTGTCATGATTCCCTGCAAAGGGGATCCCCCAGAAATCCACTTTAACTGGGCTCTGCTTGGACAGGATGAGATGTCCTGGATGAGATGGGATGGGAAGTTGCCATAGGTCCTGCCCCAAAGCAGGACAGGTAAGGGTCTGGACACACACAGCTCTTTCCTAGCAGGTAGGGAAGTGGAAAAGCCACCAGCAGGGTGCCAGGAGGCTGCAGTCACTGTCCACTTGAGTGCCTGCAAGCATGTGAAGGGAAAAAACAGAGCACCTGAGCACCACCAGTTGAAACTGAGGCTTTCTGTAGAGGATGTCTGGCTCCTTAAGCAGCAGAGGGCATTGCTGGCTTCCCCGAATCCAGGCTGTGTGGGCTGGGACTGGTGTCCTACCTGGCTCCTGTGACAGCTGTCCAGAGGCTGCAGGGAGCCAGGAGCAGAGAAGCTGCTCACTTCCTGCTGGCCTGAGCCTGCTCTCCAGCTCTGACTGGCYCTGGACACTCATTAACTCACCCAGTTCACCCAGTGCAGGAACTTCCTCCCCTCACATGCCCGAGGCTGCCCCTGGGCTGTGCACAGTGTGCTGCAGGGAGCCCTGCTCTCCTCTTGGATACTCCCCCTGATTGTCTGCTAAAGGTCTCTKCCTTCCTCTCCTGCCTTGGGGGCATCCCCTGGTGCTGTGTGTGTGGAATTGCTGCAGGAACAGRGCAGGGATGGGCAGAAATGTTACACAAATCTTCCAGGAGGTTGTCCTGCCCCTTGAACTCAGCCAYGCAGCAGAACTGGAGCCTGCTGCCTCCACACTGAAGGTGGGAGAGCCATGGGAAAGGCTGGAGTGCAGCCAGCTCCTGTCCCTGTGGTCTCTGTGAGMTGGAGATTTGCTTCAGCAGCTTTGAGCCTCATTATGGTGGCCTGAGCACCACGGGCTCTGCTTCCAGTGACAGCAGGATGTGTTCTGGGCTTTGGTGCTGTCATTTGTGTGCTGGCACCACTCTCCTGCTGGCTCTCAAGACACTGTCCTGAGCTCCAAATCCAGGGAAATGGAGCTGGGATGTTCCACTGTGGCGTGAGCTTTCCCAGCAGATTCTCTGCTTAAACACAAAAAGGCAGCTCAGCACAAAGGTGCTGAGGGATTTTTGCCCTCTCATTGTCTTGGTGTTTCTCAGCAGCCATTAAAGGGCTTCATGGATGGATTTAGAAAAGCCTGGTTTGTTACACAATCYCAGACTGGTTTGGGTTGGAAGGGATTTTCAATCCCATCCAGTTCCAACCTCCTGCCACCTTTTAACTAGATCAGGGTGCTCTAAACCCCAATGTCCAACCTGGCCTGAAACATTTCCAGGGATGGGACAGCCACAGCTTCTCTGGGAAACCTCTGTCAGAACCTCAGCACCTTCACAGGGTGAATTCCTTCCCAATATCCCATCCATACCTGCCCTGTGGCAGTTTGAATCCATTCCCCTTGTCCTGTCCCTCCAGGCCCTTGTGAATGGTCTCTCTCCCTTTCCCATGGGCTCCTTGCAGGTGCTGGGGTTCAGGCATTGGGTCTCTCTGCCCACCCCAAATATTTGGGGTTCTTTCTTAGACAGTTGTGTGCAGTGTTGGGGTGCTGAGCTGCTGTCAGTGGAAGGGCAGGGTGAACATCTCTGCAGTCTGATGGGGGGTGAAGCAGCAAGGTGATTTTCCTGGTGGTTTGTTGTTGACCTCACGGAGATTACCAAAGGAAGGCAGAGGCTGGAACAGCATCTCCCTGGATTTGGGAGCTCCCCAGTTCAGAGCTGGCTGATGAGATCCTGTGAGTGACACTCTGGTGCCTCAGATCCTTCCCTGCCCCCAGGCAGCTCTGGCTGTGTGGCTCSTGCAATGAACTCATCACATGAGAAAGCTCTTACCCAGCTCTGAATATTTTAGCAACAACATACAAATGTTCTGGGTCACTCTTGCCTGCACAGCTGCTCGTGCATTTAAGGGAATGGGGAAGAACATCACAGCTCTGTATTAAAACTCCTTTTATTCCTTCCTGTCCTAGGGAACATCTGTCTGCCAGGCCATTCTGGTGGGATCTGTAGTGGCCCTCCTGTATTCCTCAAGGGCTTGCTATAACCTGGTAGCTGTGGCCATATCTCCAGACAATGTTCCTGGTCCTTTTAACTATGGCTGGGACAACCTTTCTGACAAGGTGAGTGTGTGACCCCCAAAGCAGAGCCAGGGAAGAGAAATGGGGTCACTGCTCATCCTGTGAGGGTGAAATGGGGGCTCTGGGGGAGTCTGGGTAGCTGAACCCCCACATGAGCTGCCTTTCTGCATCAGAAGCCCTGCTTGCTCTCTGCACCCAGCAAASCTGAATCTTCCTGTCTCCAGCCACRTCTTCAGGAAGGATTCCCTGTTGTGCTCTTCCCTTTCAGCCTGCCAACTCTTCTTTTGAGGGAGAGGAGGGACAACTCAACTAGAGCAGAAAAGCAATGCTTAATCAGGCATGGCTGTGTGTGAGGGAGAGTCACTGGTGTGGGCAGYGAGCTCCCTGTGCCCTGGTAGCACACTCTGAGCAGAGCCAGCTCACCCAAACCAGCAGGTGAAGGTCACTGGGCTGCTCTAGGGATTCCTGCCTTTGAAGGGTTTCTCTGCACTTTGGGATCTCTGAGGGTGGCTGGGATGACTGAAACCTTCTGCTTTTTGCCCACAGGTGCACGTGGAGGTGAGCAGTGAGGAGTACGTGGTGTTTGGAGTGGTCCTGTTCCTCTGGGAGCTGGTGCCAACCACTTTTGTGGTGCTGTTCTTCCGTGCTCAGAGACTCAGCCAGAACCTGGTAGGCCTGAGTGGGTGCCCCTGTGCTGGGAGGAGCCCCTGGGATGATTTTTGGGAATATTTTGCTTCTGGCCTGACTTCTTTCTCCTTGGCAGGCTCCAGCAGGGATGGTCAACAGCCACAGTTACAGCTCCAGGGCCTATTTCTTCGACAATCCCAGGCGCTACGACAGTGACGATGACTTGTCACGGCTCGGGGCCAGGGAAGGAGGGTGAGTGAAAGTTGTGAGTGTTGCTGCTCTTGCTTCTACACAGGCTTTTCCTGCTCCTAGGRAAAATTGTCATGGAAGAGACAGCTTGGGTAAGGTGGATGGAGCAGGGAGGCTCTGACAGAGCTTGAGTTCCCTTCTGCAGCTCACAAGGAGCTGTTCTTGTTGGACAGAAGTGACCAGCTCAGAGAGGTTGATGTGGATGATGCTCTCAGGCAGTGACTGGAGAAGGGGTCTCACCCAGGAGGGCTGGGATCCGTTTCAGAGGGCTCTGAAATGATCTCCAGAGGGGTTTYTCCACTGGTGAAGTCCTGAGCAGGAGCTGGGACAAAACTCTGCAGGAACTTCTGATGTGGGAGAGAACAGTCAGGTATCCCAGCAAAACTCTGCAGAGCAACCAGAGCAGCCCTGTCCTCATGGAACCATGGAATGGTTYGGGCTGGAAGGAACCTTAAAGACCATTCTGTGCCACCCCCTGGGCATGCACACCTTACACTGGASCAGGTTGCTCCAAGCCCCTTCCAGGCTGCCTTGGAACATTTCCTTTCCACTTCCCAGTCCTTTACCCACGGCACAGGGGTGCAGTGAGGTGTTCAGAGGTTCTGTCCCCTYGAGCAGCATTGTGGGACCTGATGTTCTTGTCCCTGTGTCATCAAAACCAARTTCCTTGGTGCCTTCACCACCCTGAGAGTGGTGGCAGCACAAACCTGGAGGAGCCAAATTACTCATCTCTGTGTTTTGTCTCTCGTGGAGCTCAGCCACCCCTCAGTCTGTGTTTTCTGCCTCTGCTGCAGTTCAGCCACCCCTCAGTCTGTGTTTTCTGTCTTTGCTGCAGCTCAGCACCCCTCAGTCTGTGTTTTCTGTCTCTCCTGCAGCTCAGCCACTCCTCAGTCTGTGTTTTCTGTCTCTCCTGCAGCTCAGCACCCCTCAGTCTGTGTTTTCTTTCTCTGCTGCAGCTCAACACCCCTCAGTCTGTGTTTTCTGTCTCTCCTGCAGCTCAGCCACCCCTCAGTCTGTGTTTTCTGTCTCTCCTGCAGTTCAGCCACCCCTCAGTCTGTGTTTTCTGTCTCTNTGTGTTTTCTGTCTCTCCTGCAGTTCAGCCACCCCTCAGTCTGTGTTTTCTGTCTCTGCTGCAGCTCGGCCACCCCTCGGTCTGTGTTTTCTGTCTCTCCTGCAGCTCAGCCACCCCTTGGTCTGTTTTTTGTCTGTCCTGCAGCTCAGCCACCCCTTGGTGTGTTTTCTGTCTCTGGTGCAGCTCAGCACCTCTCAGTCTGTGTTTTCTGTCTCTCCTGCAGCTCGGCCACCCCTCAGTCTGTGTTTTCTGTCTCTCCTGCAGTTCAGCACCCCTCAGTCTGTGTTTTCTGTCTCTCCTGCAGTTCAGCCACCCCTCAGTCTGTGTTTTCTGTCTCTCCTGCAGCTTGGCCACCCCTCAGTGCTCGGGCTGCTACGGTTCCCTGGCTGGGACGGACGGTGGGAGCACCGCGGACAGCGCGCCCTTGCTCTGCGCCGCCGGCGGCTCGGAGACCAACCAGCACCACCAGAGCTCCCACCCTGCCCCGCAGAACTGAGGAGGCTCCCTCTGTTCCCAGAGTGGCACTCGTGTATAGGATTGTAACCTGGTTTTCCTCTCTTCCTCCTCTCCCCCGAAGCATCCAACTCATGACACAAACATTCCACTACCTGCCGCAGCTGCAGGACTGAGCCCAGGGCTGCAGGCGGTTCAGTCAGAGAACTGTGACTTTAAGGTACCATGTAGCAAAGTGAAGCTGAACTCTCTGGAAGCTTTTTTTTTTTTCCCTTGGTCTGGTCTTCAAGATGTTGGCAGCTAAATGCACCAGAGCTTCCTCACTAGAAAAGAAACATCAAATGCGTATTTGCACTTTTATCTGCACACTTGGAAGGAACGAATCTCGCTCGGGCTGTGCTGGGCCCGAGACTGTTCTAGTTACTCTTTAAATTGCACATCCAGAGCTGGGAGAGGCACTGTCTTCCTGCAAAGACGTGTTCCCTGAAGGACTCTGCATCCTGCCTGCCTCCCTGGGAGCGKGGAGCTCTGCCCGGGCGGGGTGCTCGAGTTTACTGTGCCATATTCCCACCTGGCAGGGCTGGCTGAGGCCTCGGGGTTTTGCTCTGCCTGCTGCTGCCCCGTCCTTCCTGGGCCCGTGGCTCGGAGCTGAGCGAGGTCAGTGTCCCTGCTGGCCTTGTCACCACCCCGCTGGCCCGTGGCAGAGGGACAGGGCTGGCTTTTCCCTGCAGGGAGAAGTTGGAGCTGGCTCAGCAGGAGTGTGTGTGCAGGAATGTGTGTGAATCCAGGGCTGCTGCACCCACTGGGTGCTGCCAGCTCTGCTCCCTGCTCCTTGCCCGCAGTGGGGCTCCCCCCGTCCCCCTCAGTATTAAATTGCATTTAGCAGATAACCAAGAGTTTTAACCTGAAGTGAATGTGAACTGCTGGGTCCCCACTGAGGTGCAGGGGGTGTGTGGCTGCCTGTGGAACGTTGCTGTCGCAGAGGGAAGGGGCAGAAAGCACAGGGATCTGATCCTTGGGCTCCTTGCTTTGTCTCCAGAGCTGCGGGGTGCACAGGATTGGAGTGCTGGGTCTGGCTGGGAGAGCTCCCTCTGCCTTTCCTTAACCAAAATAGCMGAGTTTGACCTGGCCCGGGCTCCTGAGATGAGGCTTGGTGTTATTCCTGGCTTGTCCCTGAGCCAGCTGTGGGGATGAGCGGAGCAGCTTTGGATGAAGGCCCTGGTGCAGGGAGGGAGCTGCTCTGGCTGTGGGGCCAATCCACCCTGGGACTGCTTTTCCCTGCCTCGTGCTGCTCCAGCCCCGGTGTGACCCTGGGGACAGGGACAATGGCCTGGGAGCTGCAGTGACCCCCGGCCTCTCCTCACCCCTGGAGCTTGTGCTGAGCTCGGTGTCACTCGTCCCACCCACCCAGAACCATCCCTGTGCGTGACCTGTGCTCTCCCTGCTCCCCTCCTTCACTCGTGCTGGCCCCGAAAAGCAGCGAGTCCTGCTTCTTTTTTGGAGAAGGCAAAGATGGCAACTGTCAGCACATCCCTCGCTGAGTCCCTGACCCAGAGCTCCACCCCGGCTGCTCCCCTGACTCCTGGCAGGAACAGGCTGCTCCATCTCGATCCCTGCTTGGCTTATGGCAAAGCTGGTGAAGGGCCAGGCACTGTCACCCTTCCTTCTGCTCCCGTAAGTCTCCAAAGACAGTAARTGACACTCGTGGCCCCTGTTCTTGCTTAAATTCCAAAGCACTAGGAGCACTTTAAGTTTTTCTTTGGAGGGAAAGGAGTGTAGTGCAAAATTAAATAATAATAATTTAAAAAACTACAAAATCCAAGGGCTACAGGCTCATTGTTCCTATTGCACTGAAGCACACACCCACACTACGATCTTCCTGGATTTGGGATGGCAGGTCAGGGCAGGAGCCTCGTTGCTGATGGACCCCTGAGCGACTGGCCAAGCGTTTGGGTTTTACTCCTTTGTCCGGTGGATTCCGAACTGACCGCTCCTCCCGGGGCGGGTCCCGTGTTTTACTGAAGTAATTTATAGCTGAGAAGTTAAAATGACTTTTTTAATGCATAGTTGCCTTTCATTAAACTTTCTTTTGGGTTTGTTTTGGTTTTATTTTTATTTTCGGTATGGTTTAACAGTGTTCTGGCTTTGCAGGCGGGCAGCAGCTGCTGCCCCGGGAGCTGTGGCCAATGAATGTACCTATTTGTTCTTCACTAAACTGTAACCAAGCACTACTCTGTTGAAATAAATTAAAAAAAAAAAAAAAAGGACTTTCTGTGCTGGGTTGCTCAAGGGCTGTGCTGGGATGGCTCCCAGGGTCACCCGGCCAGCTCCAGGTGTGGCCCTGTGGTCCCCTGTGCCCTGCCAGGACCTGGCACATGCGGCTGGGAGCTCTGAGGGCTGAGCTGGGGGTGGCACAGGGGGCTTTATCCTCTGATTTTTCTCTGGCTGCAGCCCTGAGAGATGCTGTGTCTGTCCCAAGGGAATGTTTGGAGCTGTGCCAGGGTGGGTTTAGGTTGGATTTCAGGGAAAGGTTCTTCTGTCCCCAGAGGRTGTCCCAGGGAATGGTCTCGGCCCCGAGGCTGCCAGAGCTCCAGGAGCGTTTGTGGATGCACAGGGGGGATTGTTGGGGGTCTGGCCAGGGCCAGGGGTTGGATCCATGATCCCTGTGGGTCCTTCCAGCTCAGGATATTCCATGATCCTGTGTTCTGTGAGGTACAAAGTGCTCAGCCCAGCTCCCAGGGCTGCTCAGGGGGACACACCTGACCCAGGGCTGTGCTTTGTCCTTTCCAGGACTGGATCCCCCCAGAGCTGCAGAGGGGCTGAATCCCCAGCTCCACACCTGGAGCTTCACTTTTTCCTTTTTGCCCGGGTTTATCCCCACCCACGGCCCTGAGCCAAGGAGCAGCAGTTCTGCTGGAGCACACACTGCCTCTGCTGCATTTTAGGGTGGAAAGCAGAGGGGTTTGCACACACATCCAGCCTCGGGGGTTGTTTTCCAACAGCACAGCCTGTCCTTTGTCCCTGCTGGATGTTGGATGGTGCAATCAGAGCTGGCTCCATCCCTGTRGGACCCKGCWGGAATCARGAACRGGGGATCTGTGRGGGATCCARGGGTTGTRCCCACCCCAGSAGGGACCCTCAGCCCTYTCCCATCAKCTCTGYCCACTCCTTGTCCTTGGAGCAGCACAATTCCCCCGTGCCTCATCCGTGCTTTCTCCAAGGAGCAGCAGCCCTGAGCCTGGCTCATCCTTTCCCATTTTAGCCTTTCCTCCAGGGAGCAGATCCCAAAAGAGGCCAAACCCACTTGCACAGGCTGGGAGGAGCAGAAGGGCCAGGAGAAGGCTGGAATTGGGGTCCTGGCAGCAGCTGCTGGCCCATGGACTGTCAGATACAGCTGATGGAGCGTTCCACATTTCCTAAATGAGGAATGGCAGCCTCCACGTGCCACATGGAAAGCAGTGGGGTTCCTCCAGCATGATCCTTCCTGGTGCATCTTCCCAAACCTTCAGAGCGTGCAAGGATCACCAGGAACTGCCTGATCCCACAAAAATGTTTCCTGAAGAAGAGCAATTCACCTTGGGACAGCAGCACCTCCAACAATCACTTGGAGTTGTTTTTTTATGCAGCAGGAGGTTGGTGTAGACACACTGTGAGTGTGGAATCACAGAGCAGACAAAGAATTTCCCCCAAATTTATTCAATGGCACAGTTCTCGCCCTCCCTCCAGCTTCTGAAGGCAAAGCCACGGGGCTGATCCACCCAAACAGCACAGCAATATTTCAAAGAGTTATTCCAAATGATCTTCCAATATATAAAATAAAATTTACATATAGTCCTCATTTTTATACCAAAAAAA